TGCCACATGTAGCTCGCGCACCCCCCAAGCTCCTCCCACCTTTGGTGTTGCAGTGTTGTTGTACATCCTTCTGCTTGTATCTTGATATGTTGATTTTTATTTATATCACAATTACTTGGCTGTAACTACGGATTTGCTGTGCTTAACTGTGGATAAGCAATTCGATTTTGGATTTGAATTTTCGCGCTATTTTTGGATTGTTATTAGAAATTGATATAAAATATATGCGAATTCAGATATTAAATATTAAATAATAAACAATATAAATTATATAATTATTATCTATAATTATACGTATTTGAAATATAAAACATAGCATTTAAATATGTAAGAGATAAGTAATTTTAAATGGAATTAAAATTTTAAATTTTATTATTATACAATACATATTTGTATAGATTCAATTTCAAGTTTCTAATAATGAAACTAACCCAAAAATTATAGTCAAACCAGTTTTGAGCAATTTTATAATGCTCGCCCTGCGAAATTTATGCACTGGTGCGATTTTTGGCCGACGGCATTTTGATAATCGAAGCCACGCTGCATCGCCACAAACTTCTGTGCAACTGCAGCCGTTGAAGAGGAAACCCATTCGCAGAGCTTCACAAACAGTTCGGCCGCCAGGTGCCATGCCACACCACCAACGAACCACAACAGAGCGGTTTTGCAGCATCACTGTTTGGCATCTTTTTAGAGGCAACTAATTGAATTATTAGCGACTGCAGCAGCCAGTGGTTGGGCTTGTGGTTGAGGTTAAGCTAGTGGCTCTGACTCTGACTCTGACTCTGGCTCTGGTTCGTCTGCCAGTTGTGGGCACATTGAAAATATTGTTGGTGGTTGACAAGGATCAGCGCCGACGCCTTATTTGTGTTCATGCACATTGCAGCCTCAGCATGACCCCTCCCATTCCTCCACTGCCCGCCCGCCTGCTATCTAACTGCTGCTGCCCTTAGGCAATGGGTGGACCAAGCTCTAACAAGCGGGTGTTGGCCATGATTGCGGCCCAGTTGGTTTTTTTTTTATTTGGACAGGGTCTCGGGTTTTTGTTGCCGCCGGCTGGCGACATGTGCACACGTATTGTTCATGTAAATCATTGATTAATTCTTACTCTTCTTGCATATGATTTGAGAATGTTACCGGCTGAGATTCAAATGCGGATTAGATTTGGCATTGCATAATTAAATTACGGCCACAACCCTTGACTGAACTATAAGTTCAACAGAAAAGACTAAATGTACATATCTATGGAATATTAAATACTCTTTTCTGACAGATTTCAGATCACACAGATAGTTCCGACTTCAATTAAATTTTGTGTAATTTAATTTAAGAAAAGAAATGTTTATATAGCAATACAATTTTTAATAGTTTTTCCAATCGATACAACTTGATTAGAAGTTGTACTTATTTTTTATAAGTATACAGTATTAAACATACTTTAATAATGTAACCCGGCCCATCATATACCAAGAATATATTTAAAATAATATAATATGATATATATATATATATATACCTTGCTGGAAAATTGCAATACCCTTTGAAAGGATATAGAAACAGTCCCATGATAGAATACATGTCCGGACAACCCTTTGTTATCAACAATCAAACTCCGAACTTGGATATGGAGACACACTTCTCTGACACTCTGACACTCTGCTCTGCATCAGGCAAATGTCACGCATGTCAGCATGCCCTAACAATGACCAGATATAATCAGCATGTCTTAGTCGAGTAGAGGCCCTGACACTTTAACAGTTTCCATAGAAGATATATGGTAAACTCAAACTTAAATAAATGAAAAACTTTCATATCAGTTGATTTGTTGGCCAAGTTTACTGGCATTGTTTAAACTTTTGGGACACAAATCATCTGTGAACTGAAGAGTTTTCATCGGACAATTGACACTACTTGGACTAAGGAGAAGACTTACACATACAAATGCATATATTTATATATGTATATGCACAAAGAAGATGACTCCCATTGCTGGAGTCCTCAGACCAGCAAATGCTCTGCGCTTCCGCACAATTAGTTCGTTCCAATTGTGTGCCTTTGGCTGTCTGAAAAAATATAAAAAAAACAATATTAAATAATAGTGCTTGACTAGAAGATGCCCTAAGAAACAACAGCTATTTCCCATATAACAAAAAAAAAATATATAAATATATATATGCTTTTTACTGGCTTCAGATCAAGGCTTTTTTATTTTTTATATACTCAAATATATTTTGAGTTCCAGCGGGATTCCCTAGAAACATATTTGTATATCAAATCAAGCTAATTAACATTTTCTGCACATAATGAAGTCTTTATTTCAAATTTATGATAAGACCGACTTTGATGTTGATCAAGAATATATAAAATATATGGGCTCTGAAATCAGTTATTCTGCTTGGTATATATACTTACATCATAATACCCTTTTCCACTCATTTTTAATGGATACAGGGTATAAGAAAGAAACCCATTTTTAAGCTGGCAATTTGCAAGGTGTTTGACAGTATGGAGAAATATGGAGGCCGGGGAGCTACCTCCTCAGACAAAAACAAATCACTTAGCCTTAATGGCTTATGAAGGCAGAGCATTTAACCAAAAACCTCAAGCAGTTAAGCGAAGCGACAGTGGGCAACAGCGACAACCCAATGGGAACCAGAAGAGGTGGATGGACACGGAGGATGTCAAATGGTTGTCTTCACGCGCAGCTCACACATAAAACTAGAACATTGCACGCTGCTGACGCTGGAGGCGTTTGGATTGAGATGCAGACTGAGGGACCTAAGGCAGTCGAGCTTGCGATTGTGTCTCCATTTCGCATAATGGGCGACCCAATTAGGCAAAGTGAGTGTTGGTAAAATGCATATGAACCATAAAACAATTGAACAATGTGCTGCCAACAATTAACCACCATATACAATGACAATCAAACGGATAAAGACCTGAGACACTGCCAAGATGGGAGATGAGCTTGAGCGAAGAATCTTGGAAATCAAGTGGAAAATTATATATAAATGTTTTAATATGCCGTGATGCATATATGTTCATATATTTATTTCAGAAATATTTACTTGTACAAAAAGTAAAATGATATCAATTATTATTAGTAAACATTCAACACGAAGATTTATCAAAATATATTTTTATTTTATAGATTTACAGATACAGATTTACGTAATTCTGTAAAGACTGGGAAAGTGTCGGAAATGCCACAGTTGCTTATTAACCATTTATAATAAATATTTATTTAGTGTAAATATCATTTTTATATCGCATTACGTATACTATACATCTTAAGCTTATATTTGCGCAAATAAACTCAAGTAGAATATCTCCTCAATTCGATTAACTAAAAGCTTTAGCTTTAGCTGATATACTAGCAAACATATGCCGGCACTTTAGACACCGTCGATAAACTGCTCACAGCTGTCAGTCATTTGTTTATTAGATTTGTCAATGCAACAGTTTTTTGTCAAGTGTCGCCCATTCAGACCACCGCCAGCTAGCCATAAAAATCGGAATTGCAAATAGATTGAGCAAAAAAATTTGGCCGGAACAAATGTTGTTGTTGGTGTCACATGCAGGCGATGCGTATAAATTAGTTAAAGAGGGGGAAAGAGCGAGAAAAACCAAGTGGTCAACGAGTGATGCCATTGTGTGGCATCTTAAATGTCAAAAGTGACACCCCTCGTACTGCACCCTTCAACCTGCACCCTCGCCCTTTGCTAGTGCACCTGATGCGATCCAACTTTGACTCAAACCGCTGGCAAAACAATAAATTTCCCTCTGGAAGCCATTGACTAAGGACAAAAAGGACGCAAAATTATAGACCTGACCAAAGCCCTTACATATCACACAGACACAGTATATTGGAGTGTGTATGTTTGTACACTGCAAAATATTTAAGCCGGTCAAATATATATATTATAACGTTCTTATAATTAAAAACATATTATACATGTTATCAGGCATTTAATTTATTTATTATATGTGAACTAAAAGCAGTATACAGGTTATAAAAATAGTTTTAAATTTATACATTACAAATTAACTTATATAAAGTGAAAAGTGAGAAATTAAAAATTGGATATGAAAGAAAATTAAAAAATAAAATAAAGGATATAATAATTAATACATAGAACAATATTATTTCTAAGCCAAAATAACATTCAATAATTCCAGCCAACATTTTTTTTAAAGATTTTCCTTCAAATGCGAAAGGGATTTGAAAGCTTATTAAATGTTAATTTACTTTAGAGAGATATTAACTTAAAACTACAATTTTGAATAGTGTATTTGTCACGGGTGGCCTGGGCAAGAGAAATGATGACCACAACGCCCAGGCAACTGGACGCACGGCTGAACATGTGGCCATAAAAAAAGAGAGAACCGTTATGTTAAGGAACAACTTGCTGGCTAATAAAAAATCAAAAGGCAAAAACGTAGGTAACAACAAGAACTTTGGGTGAGAAAAAAAAAAAGAAACCCCTACGAAATGCATTTGTCCATTATGTGCTAGTTGGAGGGTGTTTAAGCGGAAAAGGTAAGTGGCACTGTTGGCTGGGAGTCTGTGGGGCTTTTAGTCAGGGTATGCTGCAATTTTTCTTCATTTTTTGTCACCCAGCATTGTACTCAGGCGGAAGTTAAGCTGTTGTTTATGTGTCATCATAAATCATGTTCAATGTACACGAAACAATTCCACGTAAGTGGATAATGGAAACTCTCATCTACTAGTCGTGTGCAGTACAATGCTCAGTTTTATGTAGTAGATGATGATGGTGTCAATAAAATGTAAGTTCTTTGCGAATTACATTGATACTAGAAATTCTATACAAACATATTGCTGTATATATATACCAAGTTAATAATATTAAGCTATGCATATTAACTGTATCTGTGCATAATGTGTGCATGAATATTGAATTTAATGGTCAATTTGTTATGCATATAATAAGTTTTTAAATAGTTATTAAGGTATATTAAATAGAGCAACAGAGCTTACCATGAGCTACCGTCCTTTTTTTACCAAACTTCTCTTGCTGTCTGTGTTTCTAAGGACACATTCGGAACTCGATGGCAGCAATGGTAGACAAGAAATATAATTAAATGAAATATAATAATAAAGAGCACTTCATTGACACTCTTTTAGATCTCGAAGATGAAATATCCGCATCACTTACTGATACAATAGAGAAGAACTTTCTTAACGGAAGGACGACCGGCAAGAGCAGCACAAATCCAACCTTAACTTCTACAATGACATCAACAAATACTTCTAGTACTCAGAAAATACCTATACGATATCCATTTATGGTATCCATACAGATAATTGAGAACGGAAAGTACAAACATCTATGCGGTGGCACAATTCTGAACAAATATTTTGTGATAACAGCGGCCCACTGTACTTTATTGCCTCAACAGCTCTATGCCAAAAATTTGTTTGTGATCGGTGGCTCTAATATGCTCTACGATAGAAAGTCAATTCGTTTCCGTGTGCGGGAGTTGAAAAGGCATCCAAAATTCCAGCCATTCCATGGTAATGATATTATGCTCTTACAACTGACATCCGCTATACCACTTGATAACTTAAGATTTTCAGCAATCGATTTTAGGCAGAGTTACAGAGTAGATAAAGACTTACACTTAATTTTACTTGGCTGGGGCCGCACTAAAGTCCAAACGCCCAAGAATATAGAAGTTGTGCATTTTCGTACCATGTCCAATGCAAAATGTTTTGTGAATTATAAATTTAAATACTTGAAAAATGGGGACATCTGTGCTAATAACACAAAGGGAGACCGAGGAGCCTGTGATGTATGTACTTATATTCCAAATAGTTTGTTCTATATGAAACGTTAAAAACAATTTAAGGGTGATTCCGGTGGACCACTAATCGATGAGCAGCTAAATTATCTACATGGTGTACTCTCCTATGGCCGCAAGCCCTGTGTGAAAGGTAGAATTTATGTCTTCACAAGGATGAGCGAATATATCGGTTGGATCAAAAGACAAATGGGGAAAATGACGGTGAAGAAACCAATTCGTAGATAGGTACATATACCAGAAAGATTTCCACCTCTCTCTGTTTTCGCTTAATATATTCAACTTAATTCCCAATTGACACTTTCAAAACGTTTCAAAATGCAAATAAAAGAAGTCACTTAAAAAATTATTTTGCCCCCATTTGTGTGTGCCACGGAATACCAACAGCTAAAAAAAGAAATGTGTTAATGTGCCGGGGCCGCAAACGCTTTTAGAATTCATGTCACTTTCATAACGTAACAGATTCACGCGAACAGGCCCCCAGAGAGATGGGGTACCCCCCACCACGAGCAGGAAACATAAATGACAGCTACGTGTGCTAGTTCTCCCTTTCCTTAACTGCCTTTCTTTTGGATAACACACAGCGGGTATATTGGTCTTCAAAGTAATGTTGCAACTACACACACAAAAAATAAAATTACAAGTTATTTCACAATTCATTTTGTGATATGCAAATATACTTTGAAAAAATTGAGGGATATCTTGACTATTTTTGCTTTTGCTTGCTGAAGAGAAAAATATATTATGTAAAAATATATTCATAAAAAACTGAGTTAATAAAAATCATAAAGTAAGTAAACTATACAATTTTAATTTTATTTATTTGTTAAATAACACTACCCACGAAATTAATACTGTATATCTTAAATTCTCGTTTTACCAATGAACTTTATTGAATTAATTATAGATAATCAGAATGTTGAATGTTGAGACAACTGAATTTTAAAATTGCATGAAGTTCGGGAACCATTTCATTAATATTTTTATAAAAATGTATTTTATTGACTTAGCAAAACGCGCAGCTAAAATTTAGCCATTTTTAAATGTGGTCGCGTTTTTGCAGGGACTTCTTCTTGATTATACAGACCATTGAAATTAGACAACGGCTATAAGAACTGCCTGGTAGAGAAATTAAATTTACAACACAAAGCAATTTACAATAATAGGTAGAATGGTGAAGAAGGCGCAGACTCTTGCGCTGTGCTCGATAAGCTTAAGGTTGTTGATGAGCCAAATGAGATTAGCTTTTCCAGGAGACAAAATTCAAAGAAAGTTGAATCGAGCCCCAAAGCATGAGTTGTCCACTAAACGTAATATAAAATATAGGACATCTCCCAGCAATTCCATTTATCAACAATTAGTTTGATAGTTTTAAGATGTATGAGTCATAATTAAACAATCGTTGCCAAACATCTGTGACCCAGGCAGGCAATAAATTAAAACATGTTTGCTACTGCAAAGGATTTTTAGCTCAAAAAGGACTTCAAGCTAAATAGCATTGAAGACTTTTCCCAATAAATAATAAACTCACATATGCGCTGCTCTGGCTTGACAGAAAAAGCTTTTGCGTCACTTGATTACGGTTAGAAACCACCCAACCACAATCACAAGCCACCCATCCACCGCATAAGGGCAGACGCATAAAAAATGATGTTATATGCATGACCCTAAATTAATCTAGCGAAACCTTTTCCTTTACAACGACTCCCCCTCCAACCAGCCACGCTTTGTAAGCCTTAGACCGGGGACATCAAAGCCACTGAAGTATGACAGAAACGGAGCTATTTGAATATCCACGTAAATGTCATATGCGAACAAATTAAATTTGGCTTATGACCGGCTCAACGAGTGAAGCGAATAAGGGAAGCACAAAACAAAAAATAAGTTTGATGCATATTTTTTATGTCGATAAGTATCATAAAAGTGTAGGCTATGAACCTCTAGTGATTTTATAATCAAAAAGGTTCTTGTCCATAAAATGGCTCATCAAGATGCTGAAATATAAACATAAAATAAGTATTGTGTACGCACCAAAGAAAAACTCTATGTTAAATATAATAATATAATAAAATTATATATAATATATTAAATATATGTTATATTTAAATTCAACTTTAGTCAAGGGTCTTTCTTACACAATTATAACATTTCAGTAATGTTACTAAAAGTATTCGCTTAAAGTTAAGTAAGGCTTAAAATTACTTTCAACTATTTTAGATCTCATATACTGTACCCCCTTTTCATTTCGAATATTCGCACTGCAATTGTCATGCGGAAAATTCAGCAAGAAAATAGAAAGCAAGGAAAGAGGAAAACTAGCTGCGCAATATGTCGCTTGCAGCGAATTGAAATTTTGCAAAACAAAAGTAAGAAATAGAATTTCATTTAAAATTCAAAATATTTTTACTTGCTCTCTCTCTCTCTCTCTCTCTCCCACTCTCTCTCTCTCTCTCTTTCTCTCTTTTGTTCTTTCTTAGAACCAAGATGTTGCCAGTCTGCTGTCAGAGACTCATTCGCATGCAGTTGGCATACCGCAAAGTGGATATTGATATTTTGTCCTTAAATTTTGTTATTTATGTGGACACGCTTTCCCCGCCCGCCGGACATTTCACAGCATATACTATATAAACCGAAACAGAAGTTTACAATTTGCACAGACGAGCGACATTTTTGCCAACTTGTGCAAATTTATCGCGACATTGTGTGAGTCCCAAAACACAACCTCCTACAAAAAATTTGTTTCTTTTCTTTTTGGATGGGGTGTATCCGCCCCGCCCTGGGCCTTTTAGTTTGCCATGCCCATTGACATGCAAGTCATGTGCCGGTGCAGAGGCCGCCGCTTAAGTTTGACAGACCAAACCAAATAATCCTCCCATCGCCCAGCACTCTTTTCCCCTCTGGGTAACGAAATTTTTGCCATAAATTTTGCAACGTTTTCGACACATTGTAGAAGGTATTTTTTCTCTATTTTGCTGAATGGCAACCACTTGAATTTTTCAATTGTCACAAATTTATTTTAATACAGCGTGAAATTTATGAGTGACAAATTGAATTTGAAAATTGAGCAATATTTGTCCAACACAAAATAACTTTACAGGGAAAGAGGTTTTTAGTTTGCAAATGTAGAGAAGTATTGAACAATTTATTAAGTTATATATTCTGATATTTTAATATTACTATTATCTTGCATAATATTTTTACCAAAAATTAAAGATGCGCTCAACTTTTAGTTGTACATATCCACAATGAAGTTGATTGATGATTCACATTGTATGACCAACTCCCCTAATAAATAAAAAAAGAAAAAAAAAACAAACCTAGCATGGCCAATGTAAGTCAGAGAGATTCGATATGGATTGGTTTAGCTGCTGGGCATTTATAAGTATCCCGAGAAACTGCCCCTCATATCAGAATGCTTGAGTATGGCAGCGTGTTTTATATTGTTTCAAATGGGCGAAATACTAAACACTCCATAAATAAAACCATTAGAAGTGCCATTAACTGAGCATGAACAAAAAAAATCAAAATAATATTATAGTGGAGCATTTTTTGTTGTTTGTTTATCATTTTTATGTGCGCCTTGAGTATGTGGGCGTGTGTGCGCCTGACATGCGCAATCATATAAATCTTAATGTTTATAAATCACATGGTATTATAATACCCTAGGGTCATTTTTTGCAGAGTACAAACCAAATTCAGATTGTTAAGCGCGAGAAGAGCCCATACTAAAAATCAAATACTTATCTTCAAAATGTTTGGAATTAAAAAGTTAATTTGAAATAAAACTTACTTTAGCTTAAATCTCTAAGAAATACGCTTAAACATTTATTGCAGAACAATATTTTCTTTAGTATTTCAAGCATATATTTCTCAAAGATACATATTTGTTATTTTTTCTTAATATTTTTCTTTTTCTGTGTTATTTTTAATATGCAAATAATTTGCTGGCCAAATGGCAACCAACTGTGACCCAGCAGCAGTCACAGTTGACAATGGCCAACGCCCTCGAAAGAAAGAAACATGCGAAATCTATTCAAGAGTCAAGTTGACAACAAAGCTAGACTAGGCCTACTTGGCACTTGCTGGAAGCTGGCACAGGAACAGGATGTGACTATGGTACATGGTCCACTCCCCGCTCCCTGCCCTCTGGCATTTGAATATGACATACAGATGACAGCTGCTCCAGCTACGACTCTGATTTCGTCTATGGGTTCCATGGGGGGTGGCCACGATGATGCGTGCCCATTGTGCGCATTTGACGTTTGGTTTATTAATCAGTTTGGCCTGCGGCCAGGGGCAGAGCCAGGGCCAAACAGCACCACCGAAAGCAGCATCAGCGTCCTCACGATTTTCTACAAATGAATAATTTTTGTGGCAAAATAAGAAGAAAAAAAAGGGCAAAGTCAAAAAGCCGCAACAGCAGCAGCCGCAACAAAAAAAAAACCCGCCACAGGAGTCGTGAGTTTATATTTTTGTCGCTCAACTCGCATTTTAATTTCTCACAAGCGCACACAAAAAAGTCAAACAAATGTCAGTCGTGTGTTAATCAAGTGTAAATAAATGGCGCAAAGATTAGAGAGAACCGCAAATAGCAGAAAAAAATGGCGAAAAAAAAGAAAAAAGCACTCGAGCTGTGAGTGTGCGACTCACAGATACTCTGTACCCAGCACTCGTACTTATATTATGAGTCATATATAACGCGAGACTTTGGTGCTTATAATTGGGTTGTTATCAAATGTGCAGAAAACCTCGATGATCTAGTTAAACTAACAAGCATAAAAAACCAGAGCTGATCGTAAATGAATATAGTATCAAATATACATCCAACGGCACTTTACTTTTGTGTTATTATTTTATTCTACCCTTTGTTAAGCCCACAGCGCACAAAAGGCAACACAAATTTGTGGTGGAAGCGTACATAAAACAAATAAAAAATTGGGTGTGATGCAAAACAAAACAACAAAAAAAAAGGAAGAAAAAATTTAATGGTTTTTTAAATGTTTTTTAAATGTGCGTGCAGAATTTGTGAATTTTGCCCCCGAAACGGGAACTTTAAAAGCTTAAAGCAGTCGCATAATTTCCTGTCTTTTGGGGTATCCATGCAAATTAGCTCGAGCTCGAAGCAGAATCAGTTGTTATCATGAATCCAAGGCGCGTTGTTATTGCTTGACACCCACTAAATCCGAAGCCCAACTCGAACTTGAATGCCCAATACTGTGGCCAAGGCTGAAGCCGTTGGCAGCGCCCACCCTCGGCAACGCCTACAATAAATGTATGCTCAGAGAATGTCCTTTTCAAGGCGTTGCCCCGGAGGACAGGGTGCCGAAGGGTGTGGTGTGGTGTGTTGTGGTGCTGGTGCTGGTGTTGATGATACTATTATCTTATATCGCGAAGGACCGCAAGCTGTCAGTGGTCGCGGCGGCCACTTCAATAGTCCTTTTTTCCCAGCATTTACAATTCATAGATACTCGCAGATAGATAGTAGTCCGCTTTGGAAAAAATCGTTTTATTGGCTTTCGAGGTCCTTTTTGTCGCCTCAGCCGCCCACCAACAAGACCAACTGTAGCAACAAGGACATAAACCGCAAATAAGTTTAACATTGTACAACATTTACGTTCCGGCGAATGCCGGAGGGTTCCCTTTTGTTATTGTATTTGCTGTGATTTGTGTGGCTTTGTGCGGGGCAGCGTTTGAATTTTAAAATGCCACGAACAGTGGGACAAGCGCATAGAAAATATTATGAAACAATTCGGGCATACAAGGCTGAATTCTTATAGATACATATTGTTCTGTCAGAAATTCGGTTTGTTTTGAAGATTAACAAAAGTAGTAGCTTTGCCCCACTGTGCCTGTGAGCTTCTCCTAAGCAAAGGGGTGCAAATTGTGCAATTTGTAAAATTGCTTGTTTTCCTTGAACCCCAAACTAAGTGAGAACACTGCTTGAAGACGACACAATGCTATCTAATCTTATTTGATATTATTTTTACGTTAAACTTGCATTTCAGCACACTTTAGCTCTATCTCTCTCTCTCTCTCTCTCTCTCTCACTCTCACAGCAATCAAAGTTGAGGCTATTGTTCAACTACCCCGCTAATAGCTTAGGTCTAACAAATTGTCTTTAATAACAAGTTGTCGCTTTAAACAGAAACAAGCGATTTTAATGATATTTACAGGAAATGGCAGAAAACGCATCAATCATTTGTCAGCCATAAAAATTCGTCACACATGAGCATTAAATTATCAACAAAAAAATAAGAGAAAAATGAGAGTGAAGGCCTCAAAAAAAAGAAGGATAAAAATTCTTAATGGTTCTTTGTAAAAATGACCTTGTAAGTTATGAAGCACAGTTGGGCGCCCTTTTAGCCGAAATGCCACAGGCTGAGGTTCAACAACGGTCACTCCACACAAGGAGATCCTTCCACTTGTGGCTGGTGGGTGGCACGGGTTCAATTGGTCTGCTTGCTGCCAGCCACCTCCTGTGGGGGGTAGTCAAGTGCGTGCGCGCTCATATGTGAACATTTATTGGAAAACATTATTATTTATGACTTTTTGAATGACATCGCTTGAACTTTTCAAGCAATAAAGTCCAGGCACAATAACAACCTATATTGCGGCGGGACTTGTATTTTTTTTTATTTTTTTTTTCTTCTTTTATTTAAAATTACATTTCCTATAGAGAGTTGTGAGTTTTTGATTTATTATGATATTCATTAGGCATTAGGGATATGCTTCATATGAAAATTAATGCTCTTAAAAATATATTTCACAGTACAACCTAATCAGCCAGAGAAGAGGATAAAAATATAAAACATTTTATACCAATATCTTGAAGAAATTTTAACGCCATTGCGCCCAAAAGCTAACCTTGATCCATAACTCAAATTATTATCCAAAACTACTTTAAGCTCCACTTGGTAATCAATATCATAAGCCCATAAGTTGAAATATGGCATACAGAAAGTATCTTTATCTTTCGAAGTAAACCAGCTGCAGGCAAATCAAATTGGCATCTTAAGCTACGCATAAGTAAAAAATGAGAAAGAAAAAAAAAACAATCTAAAATGAAAATCTTTCTGCAAGCCTGCAATAAACGAGCTTCCAAATAGTGGGCTGTTTGAAATCAACACCCGAAAGGGTTATACCCAATCTCCAATCCTAATGCCAGTGGCGAGTCCTTTGCGGGAGAACGTTCCAAACATGTATGCATGAAGCTGCTTTAAGATCTTATCAAATAACCATAAGAACAAGAATGATTATTTTAAGTAATTGGCAGCTATTGTTAGCAGGCAAAACCTTTTCTTAGGCAAGTATTCGTCGCCTTAATTTAAACTAAAACTGTGCCTTTTGTTTTTTATTTACTTGCGTATTTGCTGCCACCATATAGTATATTTACATATATACGTATATACGGAAGTATAAAGGAAGCTATTGTATATGTGTGCGTGAGATATGTACATGCTTCAGGCGCATGACCCATTCCTGAACTCACACAAACCTCCGTCAGCGTAGAGCACCCGAAGGATACACGAACTCTCGCACTCCGACTAAACTAATGCTATCCTCGTCTAACCTCACATCTAAGGGGTGTCTGTGTGTGTGTGTGTGTAGGGTGCGGGTGAGTCAAAGTGTAGATAGCTGGCTGCCATAGGACGACAGACAACGAAGTGAACGATGTCGACTCCGCATACATATACAATGTCTAAGGTGGAGCAGAAGCCATGACTGCGGCCATGACAGCGATAATGTATACCAGCCAAACGGTGCTGGCGCGGATGGTGGCGGAGAAGGAGGCGTAGGGCGCAGGGAGACAGTTGTGCGGGGGCGTCTGTTGTATGGTTGCCGGTTGCTAACGGTTCCACCCACAACCACACACACCAGACCCAACAACCAACTGCCTGCTGTCATCTGCAGCTTTCTCTCTCACACTAAACATCCGCAGCCACTCTTCCATTCTTCCTCTCTCTCTATCTCTCTCTCTCTCTCTTTCTCTAACACGCATTGCCAGTTTCTGCTTTGTGGGTATTAAGTTCGGTCTTAAGGCTAAAGATAAACGTCTGCGGCGACTAGTTAAATTTATTTCCTTGCAAGGTGAGTCTGCTTAAATAGAACCCATAATTGTCAGCTTACTGCAATACTTTCTGATCTCTTTGTTCATTTACAGTTTTTTAGCTATTTTTTAATTTTTATTATTTCAGCTTTCCCATTATCATATAATAATTTTGTAAGCATAATATAAATTACGTTAATTAATTATTTCGTGGAACATAGTAAAAGGTTATTTTCTCAACTCCATATAAAAATATAGATTTCAATTAAATAATTATAAACATAAGAAAATAGAAGCCAACGCTTGAATTTTATTAAGAACCATTCAAATATTTTATAAATGCTTATATGTGGCTCAAATACGGGTGTGCAACGTGGTTTCTAATCATTAAGCAGGGAAGAAATGCACAGGGGACACTTCTTTTTATGGTGGACTTTGTTAAACGATGTGGTCACTTGAGTCATGTGTATATGTGTCTATGGGGAGTTGGGAAAATACGGCACCGGAGCCAAACAAGCCGAGGTTGTTTTTGTTGAGCAACCCCAACGCAGTCAAATGCCATTCTTATCAAACAAGCGACTTAAGGGGACGTTTGCTGTATAGTTTGTGGTCGTTTTTTTCTTTTTTTTACTGCTTTTTTGTTGACTAGACATGTGAGTCACTTTTGTTTTGTTTTATCGAGAACGATACATCAGCCATCAAGTTGATTAACTCACTTGGAATGTGCCAAAGTGCCGAAAATCAAATTAAATGGCCTTGATGTGAGTGTTTTTGACATATCGAAGTGGTTTTGTGGGAGTTTGTCGTTGGGCCGTTTGATTTATGCATTGCAAATCGATAGTTTGTGTGGGTTGTTAGAGAAAAGGGATCAGTGCCAAATATTATACGAAAATGACAATATTCGCAGCATCCGACAAAATATGAAATGAGTGGCTAGTTTTTACTGTCTGCCTTTCATCCGCTCCTCGTACTTTTTGTCAATGAAATTAAAGACGGAATCTATAGCTGAGTAGGAAGTCCACTCGTGCTCTGGATGTCCAGCAGATACACAGGTAATATTATGTTCCTTATCCCCATTGGTTAGATCTTTACCGAGCGGCTCTCTGCTTGATAGCCAATTGCGGGTAACCTCCAGAAAGTATTCCTTACAGTTGGCTGGCGGATGATCCACGGTTCCGTCTGTTAAGGCAATAGCAAATACTTTTTCCTTGAAGAAATCCATAAACATTTGCGACTGCAATATAATCCGAGTATTAGTAGAATATCAAACTGGTTACTGTTTCTACTTACCATGGCACTTGCTATTGAGCCGCCAAAGCTATGTGCCACTATTGCCACACTTTCTGGATTGGAGGGCACAATAATATTTTGAAATACATAAGCCGCATGTTTCATCGAGGTGTCCACCTCCTTGATAGTCTTACGCTTTCCGTTTATGATGCGAAAGGTGTCGTTGGTGTTCGTCACGAGTATTTCGTAACCCGTCATCTGTGCGCGTTTTATATAAGGCAGCTGTGTGCCATGATCCAGCGAATTATTTATAATCAATCTGAAAGTAGTTGTGACAATATCAATCTTATGCGCTTGGGAATGTAATCAAATTTCACTTAAGAACTACTCAAAACTTATGAAATTATGAAAAAAAAGACCTGTACGAAAAAAGAACTCATTTTTTAAATTAGTTGTAATATGCAGGAGCATATGACATCTATCCGTCTTCTTACTAAAGGCAATATATAGAGTGCAGTTGATCGGATCGGACCATTATATCATATTGCTGCCATAACTACAATCGGTTGAAAGTTAAGTTGTAAGTGTATTCATTTATGACATCTAAATGATGTACTCATCTAACTAATTCTGATTCTACAAATGATGATCTCCTGGTGTGGAGACAAACCTTCTTGCCCATTGGCCGGCGAGTACGTAGCCACTGCCGTGTATAAGAATGAGCAGCTTTTTCGACTTTGAAAGCGGCTGTGGTTGTGTGAAGACGAATGTGGAGCGATCAATAGGTGCGTCGAATGGTATATGGGTTCTTTTCAGGCCTTGCTTTTCTACGAGTTCGTAGATGATTTCTTTTAGCTGATTAGCGAGCTTCTCGTAGTGCTCCTCATTTTCGCGTCTATTCGTGCTTATGTTGAACTCGAAAGGCTGATCACCAGGCTCGCCGCTTGCTGCATCTATTTTGCGCAGTTGCCCAGCTAAACGATAGGGTGGTACACATGTATATAAAATATGGCTAAGTAAAACTGTGAATAGGTACGCAACTCACAATCATTGAATGCATAGCCGAATTCCCGCAGGCGTGCAATTGCTTCGTCGCAGGTGCTGGCGGTGACCTCTTCCATTATCTCGTCTTCTTCTAATCTGAGATTTAATAATTGTTTAAAGCGTGTCCACATTTTGAACATTTATTGCTCAGCTTCACTTACATAGCAGAGAAAACCCAATCCAATCCAATTGTTTAATGCCGGCTGATTAGAGTACAAGCGCAAGTAGCATCGATACTTTGCCAATAAATAAAATGAGAAAATATGTGCAAAAGTGGTGGTCGGCCGATATATTTTTATGTCAGCTTATCCGATAAGTAATTTAAGCCGCCAATTTTAAATTATCTTTATTACAAATATTCACTTTCATTTTTTAACTGTGTTCACACCAGAACATTGACAGCAACTCACGACTATAATAACAATCGCCAGCTAGCCCTCGAATATTTAACATTACTACAATCTCAGTAACATATGAATATAGTGTTGACTTGTAAAACAAAGCGCTTGTTCAAAGGCTTGACAACGGTGACACCGGACATGACCAATGACATGCTCCTCAATGGCCACCCGTTGACAACCTAGTCAAATTCTCCTTTCTAGTTTGAGTAGAGGTGTAGTTTTTAGTTTTATGGTTACGTTTTCAACATATTGTAGATCCTCAAACTTAAATTTTGTGCTGAATCTATAATTTCGCAGTAATTTCGCCAAAGTCACTTTTAAACTTAAAAGACCATAGCGCCAGCCTAAAATTGTGTAAAATTATATAAATAATTGTATTCGTATCCATTTCAATTCACTCCTCATACCTATGCAGCTTCTTATACCCTTTGTGAAGGGAATGAAGGCATACGGATGCTTATCTTGAAGATTGTGGGGCAGAAAGTGATCGGGATTGAAAGACTCAGCGTCAGGTCCCCAAATGTCCTTGCTGCGATGCATGTGAAATATGTCGATAACAATTTGCATGCCTTTAGGTATATGAACTCCATTGGAGAGCATAAAATCGTTAGATGTTTCTCGTGCCACAAGGGGAACTGGTGCAATCAGACGCATGGTTTCATTCATGACGAGATCCAAGTAAACCATTTGCTGTGCCTCCTCATAGCTAACTGAAAAGTCACCGCTCTTGGGGAACAGAGTTTTGATTTCCTCAAATACCCTCTCCTGACACTCGGGAAACATTGCGAGCAACATTAGGGCATAGCCCACGGTCTTGGAGGATGTCTCGAAAGCAGCAAAAACCATTATATTGGACTCAGCTTCAATATTCTTTCGACTGAAAATGCCGCGTTCAAAATGCCCAACGGCAAGGTTAAGAAATGAACTATTATTGGCTGGTGTTTTACCTGAAATATCTGCTTCGAGACGTTCTGCAACAAGCTGTAAAAATATTGATTAGTAGTGGTAACAGTAAGTTTTTGCTTAGGCTTCGCACCTTGCTGATAAATTTACGTATTTGTAATTTGGAATTCTCATAACACTCTTCCTTGCCGAACAGCTGGCGAATTATTTTAATATTTAGCCAGGGACAAATAGTAAAGTCCGCAATGCATTCCTGCAGACTAAATGGGAGTTCTAAATTGACTTACTTATACAAATGAATTACCTACATACCATTGATAGTAAGTCATTAATGATTTATTTTTGAATTTCGGCTCCTCTTTCACACTGCTGCCCATTGTGGATTCTGTTTAAGGGTTTTTTCAATAACAGCAATTCATTTACACTGCTTTCACTTACGCGTAGCTATGCTTAATGAGCAATGCTGTAATAATGGCATTAAGTCCAGTTCCCCAGCATCCACCAGTTTATCAAGCTCATTTACAAGTATTTCGGACTCCCTATTAAAGATGGGCAGGGTGTTGAGCAAGACCTTATGGGCAAAGGCGGGATTCAGCAGTTTTCTATGTTCACTCCAAACAGGATCTTGTGAAATATATAATAAATTTAATTCATTTGTTATTTAAAGTATTTATTCGAGCTGCTCACCTTTTAAGCTAAATAAACCCGTGCCAATAGCATCATCGATGATCTTATACATGAAGCTTTTGTTCACACAATATGGCGAAGTTAAAACATCCTGCGTCACTTGAGGATCACTCACTATCAGAACTGGCAATGGACCCATCCAGGTAATCACAGTCGTGCCATAATCCCTTATATAAGTTCTTAGCAGCTTAAGCAGACCTGCAATTGAAATATTAATGTATCTTTATACAAATTAAAAATGTATAAAGATAATACACCTCCTTTGCGCAGCAATTTATGTGCTATGCCAATTAATGGATATCCAAGAGGCCCAGGAAATTTGGAAAGCAATTTATAATATTCGCGACGTGAGCACAGAAAATATATAAAATAAACTATTATTAATATTACACACAATATCAGCAAATTAAATTTCATGTTGTATTCCCCGCTCACAATTGAATGATTTAAGCTTCAAAAATATTTTAAACGTTTGCGCTTCTGTCGTGTTCTTTTATATGGATGAGTTTCGTGATAGCAACTCATTTAGGTTTTATAAACACTGCACTTTTCCATTTTAGCATCTTAAAGACATCAATAAACTTGAACTCTACGGCTAATTTTTTTCGCAAATTGCGCAGAGGGCAAGTAATAAAAAACACTCAGACTTAATAGCTTGAAGTTAATTATGTATATTTTTTTAAATATTATTATTTGAGGTCATTCACATTGTAAGCAAAAATCGCTTGTGTGACGATGCTTTATATGCATAAATAAATAAATATAACTAAACAATATTTGGTGGTCAATTACAAACCAAATTTGTAAACAATCCCGCTGAATATAAGAAGTAATAAAAAATAATCGATTATTAGCTATCATTGCCAGAACTTGCAATCGAACTAGCAAATTGTAATCAATTTGCAGTCAGCTGTTGTGGCATTACAGCAGTTATCGATATGTCATCACGCGAGGAATTTCAGCGACATAGCCGAAAACCGACACATCACATAAAATAATTTATCTAATATCTGCGTGGCAGTGGCACTCTGCCAAAATTCGAAGTAATAAATGCAAAGCGCAACGTACACATTCCGTGAACAGGACAGGTCACCGCGCACCATGAATATGCGCGACTGGCGAACAGCGCTCCGAACTCCAACATATCGGATTGGTAATCGCACGGTGCGCTTCAATTACCATTTCGCCCTGCTTGTCTTTTGTGCTTTCATCCTGGCGTTGCTCTTCCTGTACGCACGGCAGGGCAGTCGGAGCTCCTCCGACGGCTACTGGCTGCGCAGTAAGAGCCACAACGACCTTGGCGTGATGGCAGCAGCTCTAGCTGCCGCCTACAATGCAACATATCCACTGACGCCGCCACTAAGTGTGCAGGGCGGCCTCGTCAATTATCGTATTGCGATGATAGCTGATCTAGATACCAGCTCCAAAATTGTCAAGGGCGACGGCAGCGAAACGTGGCGCAGTTATCTCAAGAAGGGCTATCTAACATATCTTCCGAAGAAGCATGAGATACAAATTAACTGGGATGATGGTGCGCCCGTAACGCTGGAGTCTTCGTTCGCGTTGAAGGGTCGTGGCATGGAACTCTCCGAGCTGGTCACGTTCAACGGCAAACTGCTCAGTTTCGATGATCGCACGGGTCTCATCTACGAGATAGCCAACGACAAGGCGATACCGTGGCTAATATTGCTCGACGGCGATGGACACAGTGCCAAGGGCTTCAAATCCGAGTGGGCAACTGTCAAGGATCACACATTGTATGTTGGATCCATGGGCAAGGAGTGGACAACCAGCATGGGTGACTACCAGAACAACAATCCCATGTTTGTCAAGGCAATCAGCATCACCGGCGAGGTGCGCTCCCTTACATGGGCGGAGAACTACAAGAAACTGCGCCTGCACTCGGCACAGATCTCCTGGCCCGGCTACATGATACACGAGAGCGGCGTCTGGTCGCCAGTGCATCAGCGCTGGTTCTTTCTGCCACGTCGCTGTTCGAAGGAAAAGTGAGTACAATAACATTATTTGGTGTTTCTTTAACTTATTAATCCATTTTGATTTGCAGATACAACGAAACATTGGACGAGCACATGGGCTGCAATATACTCGTTTCGGCTAACGAGGACTTTAATGTTATAGAAACGATTAACTTGGAGGCGGGCAATACGACGCCAACGCATGGCTTCTCCAGCTTTAAGTTTCTGCCCAACACAGAGGATACGATAATCGTAGCCCTCAAATCGGAGGAGTTGAATGGCAAGACCTCAACCTTCGTGACCGCCTTCAATTTGGAGGGAAAAACGCTGCTGGCGGAGACGCGAATCGAGACGGAATACAAATACGAGGGCTTCGAGTTTATTTAGCGAAGCGCCCCAACTGCAATACTCAGTGTATATAGTGCATTATCCGACATACATATGTGATATATAATATATATATATATATATATGTGTGAGTTAGCCTCGATCTTAATCTCAAGTCAGCTTTTAATATATATATATAGTTAATTAAGATATTTAGGAGATGCTCGTTAGACCAATGCCATTAATTTTTCGCTGTTTTTGTTTGCTTTTTGTTTACGATTTTGTGACGTGAGCAGTTTTGAATCTTGTACTTTAGATTTACATAGCAAAATGCCAATTTATAATTTATTGTAATTATTAAATACGTACAAAACAGGGTTATAAGCTCAAAGCTACGGCACTTCTAAGTTTTCATTGAATCCTTCAGATCGATCACAGACCGATCCAGGCCGGCTACAGCCAAATCTTCATTGGTGACGCGACCCTCGCTGGCGCGCACCTCCAAACGGTCCGCATTGTGATTGACGTTCCACAGTTGTGGCAGAAATCGGGGACGCATCACATTGAGGAAATGCTCCCGCCACAGACGCTCCAATTCGACGAGGCCACCAAATTTATCGCAATACATTTGCACCACCTTCTTGCCATGCTGGCAATAGTCATCGTTCTCCACACGATAATCCAAGTTGGCCGCCTTCTTGAGCAGCTCCTCACTGATCTCCGTCTCCTCCTTGTAATAGTCCAAAACGGCTTTCTCCAATTGAGCCACCTTTTCGCTGGGAATGCGCTCGCGTTGATGCAGTAAGGCCCGACCAGCGGACTTGATGCTCCTATAGGAAGGAATGAATTAATGACTGATGATTGTTGATGTTATATAGTTGACCTACTCACCTGATCTGTTGGTCACAATGATACTGGGTCACACCATCTCCGTTCGCCAGTGGCGCCTCGCAGATCGTGGCAAGCTTACTGCGAATTTTGTGATCGGAAATGTTGCTGGTTTGATGGCAGTTGGGGCAGAGCAGGAGGATGTCGTGCGAGCTGTGCGACTTCATTACGGTGGGAAAATGTTTGCGATACTCGCGCGGCACCACATTCTTCCGCAGGTAGGCATCCCGACGGCCGCAGACGACACACTGATTCTCCTTTGGCGTCTGATAGTAGCGACCCACGTCGCCGACAGCTCGACCAGCTGGCTCAAAGTTCAGTCGGACGGTGAAGGGCTGTTCGCTGATTTGTGTGCCCAGATTCTGGGTCAAGTACCAGGCGGCCTTGCTCCGATCAATGGTGCAGAGGAGTTCCCCATCGGGCGCCTGCAGCAAACAGTTGTCATAGAAGGCCTTGGATTGGGTGCCCAGATTGCGGCATTGCTGCTGCTGCTTTTTGGGTTTCCTTTGCTTTGCCTTTGCTGTCAGCGTATGAAAACCGGAGTCAGCACCGGCGCCTCTACTCAAATTCTGTGTAAATCCCGCTGAGTAACTCACATCTAGAAAAGGCTCAATTTGAGGATGCAAATCGTCCGATTTAAGGCTGCGCCAATCCCAAAACTGTTGTCGTTGCAAGTCATAGGATAATTTTTTGAAAATGGCCACCGCGGCCAGTGCATCATAAGCAGCATAGTTTAATTGGGCGGCAGTTAGCTGGGGCGCTTCCCAGTTGGAGCAGGCGAGCCGCCAGCTTTTATCGAGCTGGAAATCGAGATGAGTCTTGGAGAGTTTGCCCAGACCTTCGGCCGGATGGCCGGCCATGACGGCCATGTACCGCAAGTCGAAGGTGCTTGCAACGCCGACGCCAAAGTCATGAGACAGCTTCATAGCATCATCTTGGGGTGCCACGCCCACCTTGATTAAGTCCTCATCCTCGAGCAGGTCGCGCAGATCCTTGGGTATTTGCTTCATGCAGCACAGGCGAAACAGCGCACAGAGCCCCTGATGCGAGCTCAGCTGTAGCAGTGCCACTGGCCGCCTGCTACCGCCCACCGTTATCCATTCGCAGTCAAAACCCAACACTTTGAAGTGTCTGCTGTGCCTGTCCAAAGATCAATTCGTTATCTCTATTGGGCGTTCAACAAAAGATTGCACTCACTCTTTCAGTTGATTTACGATGGACCTGGTCTGATGGAGGCTGCTGATGACTTCGATGTGCGCCTGCTCCATGGTATTGGCGCGATGGCGCGGTATGCGCCGCAGCGTGCCCCATATGGAGTGTCTGTGTCGCAGCAGCACATAGACCAGACCCACACCAGCAGCGACTATAGCCCATTTCTTGGAATTCGGCGTGACTGTCGAATTGCTCATCGCAATCCTTGCAGTGTTGATGAAATTACAAAACTACGACTCGATAGTCCGATAGCAAATGATAACGAGGTCTTCACGTTTTACCGCCAAACAAATCTTTAAATATACATCTTTTCAAATGATGTATATAATATATAATTTTTAATATTTACGTATCAATATGGATTGTAATATAACAATTGAATTTCATATTAATTATTTACAATTATTGCATGCTTGCTAGCTGAACTGTTGATATCTATCGATAATTGTGGTTAACGTTTGTATCGATACTTACCACATATTTGTCGCTCATTTCCAGCTCTTGTGTAACAGTGCTCTTAACTGTTAGCCAAACGAGCGACAGCTGTTAACTAATTTAGTTAATTTCAGCACGATTTTAAATGTTTGAGTGAGAAAAACGATTGATTAAATTAAATAATGTATAATAATAAGTGTCGTCTAAGGCAAGCATGTTAAGTTAAGGCATGCTGCACTTGAGCAGCAGCAGCTGCATGCAATTTGCATGTGCAAGTTCAAAAACGCCGCAACTCAGTTGAGAATCGATTTTTCAAACACAATCAAAAAATAACAGGTAACATTAATTAAACAACTCAAAGTTCTTACGATTCATGTTTCAACTAATTTTAAATGCTTCTAGAATGTGCCATTTACAAATATAATATACATAAATCAAAAATCAAAGACTAGAAACTTAGAATCCACAATGCCAGAGAATTTGGAACTGCATCAGTTCGTGGATGGGACACGAACGGGAGAGATCTCAAATCAATGGCTGGAACGTCTGAGGAATCGCGTTAATTGCCCATATTTGGGCATCATACTGGCCACCCTCTCATCGCTGTTCTTCTCGTTGTGCTCGGTGATTGTAAAGGGCCTGGTCGATGTCAATCCCATGGAGCTGGCATCGTTTCGCTTTGTGGGCGTCCTCCTGCCTACGATACCCATACTGATCTACACAAGGCAGCCCGTTTTTCCAGAGGGCAAACGGGTCATACTGATGCTGCGCTGCTTTATGGGCACCACGGGTCTGATGCTCAGCTTCTATGCTTTCCGACATATGCCGCTCGCGGATGCCAGTGTGATCATCTTCTCCACACCCGTGTTCGTTGCGATTTTCGCACGCGCCTTCCTCAAGGAGCCGTGCACGCTTTTCAATGTGCTCACAATTAATATGACGCTGCTTGGCGTTGTGCTCATCACCCGGCCGCCCTGGGTCTTTGGCGATCCGGTGTCCGAGCTGGAGACCGAAAAGTATTCAGATAAAACCTACGATATTTGGGGACCAGTTGCTGCCATATCATCCACGCTGTTCGGTGCCAATGTTTATATCCTGCTGCGTGCGCTGAAGAATCTCCACTTCTCGGTGATCATGACAAATTTTGGTGCCATCGCCCTCGTCTACACCCTGATCGTGTGCGGATCTATCGGCGCCGTCTGCTGGCCCAGTTGTGGACGTGATCGCTGGCTGGTCGTTGTGCTTGGCATCTTTAGTTTTTTGGGCCAAATTCTGCTAACGCTCTCGCTGCAGGTGGAACAGGCCGGACCAGTGGCCATAGCACGCTGTGCCGACATCGTCTTTGCCTTCATCTGGCAGATGATATTCTTTGGCGAGGCGCCCAATGCGTACTCCTTGTTCGGAGCCCTAATGGTCGTCAGCTCGGTGATTTTGACTGCCATGAAGAAGTGGGCAATGACCCTGCCGCGAGAGTCCTCGTTGCGCAGACGTTTGCGAGTCATTCTCCTGGAGTAGGACGCAACCAGGTCGCAGTAGTTGTAGTCTTAGTTAATGGAATGCTTTAGATACGTAAGTGGTTTCTCTCAACTACGCCGGCGGACAACGTTTACAAATCAAATTTGTTGGGCATCTGGGAACAAGGCTCAATAACTAATTTAGTCGTCGCTCGCAAATTAGAACGTTTTGTTTGAAAAAAGAAGTACATATATATATATTCGATTTTCTGATCAATTTCTTCTTCACAAATTCTCTGCTTAGAAGCAGATGAAATATAGCAAAAATAATACTCTCACATATATAGAAGAATTTCAAATTGATTTCATTGAAATTAGTATTCTAATTTCTAAACGCTATAATTTTCGAGCGGCAAACGTACTTAAACTAATTCATACACTTTAGACTTGGCATATTGAAAAGCTCAGCTTAGTATAATAATAATAAGCGCATTATATAAAGACACCTACATATACTTCACATAGGAATAAAGTTTTAAAGTTTCGAGCGTGATACTCTCATACCATCAAAGAAATGTTCATACATATGACTATGATATACATTCATAACTACATTTATGTTTTAGTTTAGCCAAATTCATTGAGTTGTTGTTTTGTACATTGTTATACATGCTTACACTAAAGTAATTCGATAAAAGAACAAAACTAAATAAATACAATACAATTTGTGTAAAAGTAAAAAGCATTGCTTTTTTGAATTTAACATTTTTCAAGAAAATCCGCTTGAGCACTTGAATTCAAATTATGGCGCGCATCAATAACAGCTGAAATGAGTTCGATACTTCCGCAATTTATACTCATTAGGTTACATACTCATGTTATGCGTAACATTCGTTTAACATAACCTTTCAATGTTAATAACCTAGTTGGCAAAGCGTCGGCGCCACCGGTTGCCATAACAAAACACAAAAACAACAACAACAAAAAAGTACTCAGAACAGTGGGTACTCAAAACAAAAACCACATGTCTGGTGAGAAGAACCAAAGTAAAAAAAAAAAACAATTTTCAACGTGATCGTGAATACATATGTACATAGTGTGCCTTGGACTTACATATTTCGATATATATAATTATATTTAAATACATTGAAAATAAAGGAACACTACGTAAACAGAAAACAAACACGTTGTACATTCGATTCCTTGTGCTTCAACGAAGGAGAATTGTTGTTGTTGTTATTGCCTATTTAGAAGCCCAAATCAGCAATAACAGCATCCAGTTCATCCTGCAGATTGGTGGCCCGGGAGCGCACCTGTGAAATTTGATCCTGCAAATTATCAACATTGGCCTGCAGCAGCACATTGCATTTCTTCATAGCGGCGAAGCGACTCTCGTGCTTCTTCACGCGCGGCTCCAAATTGCCCTTCTTCACTGAATTGGCAGCATCCTGAAACACGAGTCACAGGTTAGTCATGATTTTGATTTTATTATTATTGTATATTGTATATATATTATTCTTGTACTCACTTCCGCTTCGGATTCACTGCCGGACTCCTCTCCGCTTTCTTCGGATTCTGATTCCTCAGATTCCTCCTCGGACTCTTGCTCTTCTTCGTGCTCCTCTTCGGGCTCCTCTTCGTCATCCTTTTCTTCGGCTTCGCCATCGGCATCAAGCTCATCTTCGTCCAGCTTCATTGATGCTGCCATCTTTTGCACCTCCTTCTCCAATTTCTTGAACTTTTTGTTTTCCTCCCTGCAAATGAGAGAGGAGTAAATATTTTTAAAATATATATCGTTCAGTCGAAAATTGAGTTTTCATAAGTATTATAACTATTAAATTTGCATTTTTGCCTAGGATATTTCATCTGCTACACTTACTTGAGTAGAACATGATTCTTCTTCATGGCCTGCTTGAGCACATCCTTCTCCTTCTTGGCTGCCTCCTCCTTGACCTTGATCTTGGTCAGCTTGCTGCGCAGCATTTTCACATCCTTGCCCATTCGCTTCTCACGTCGCTCTGTCTTCTTCTCTTCGGGCTCATCGGGATCGCTTTCGCTTTCCGGCTCCAGTTCCGGCGAACTGTCGCTTCCGAAATGCGCCTCGCTCGCTCTTCGTGAGCCATCAAATGAGCCGCCCTAGTTTCGCAAACGAACAAGTGAATTAATGCATTCATCACGACTAAAAGGCTGCCCCTGAGCGAATGCAGCTTTTTTTTTTGGGCATTACCTTGTGCAGGCCATGATGATAACCGTGATGATTACAGTTCATCTGGTCGTAGTAATCATCGTCATCGTCATCGTCGTAAGCAAAGCGAAAACTAATATGCGGTCTGTTAGTGCTTGGAGTCGTATTGCCCTTATATAAATAGCGATAGCATTGGTTAATCGGTTAATGTTTTAGTATGCCGGGGAATCGTCTTGTTGCATGTGTTGTGCTTATCAACAAGTTATTGTCCTCATTTAAGATAATGATCTTTATCGAGTAAAAGGTCAGCTTTGGGTTTGTTGAGACCGCAGCTTTAGGATTGCTCGAATGCTCAATTTCTCAGTCATATTGTGAGATTGTAAAGCATTCGATCAAGCGAAAATGTCAGTGTAAATAGGCTGGTTCTTACAAATTCCGTAATTTGATTAGAATGGGAAATATTTTTAATGAATTTTTCAATTTGTACCAAATACGAAATAAAATATGGTTTATGATATTTTCAAATGGTATTTTTATCTTTATGACTTTAACAGAACTTTATCTGTTTACTATTTAAAAATCAAATCTAAAGAATCTAAAATAAGATATCAGCTTAGCGCTGAAGTAGTTATCAAATTCACCAATCTCTAATCGAAATCTTAACAGCATTTTTAGTTATATACGTTTATCTTTCCTGACTATTGCGGTACTAAGAACTTTAAAAACTTTTTCAAATGTTTTGGTTGCAATAAAAATATTGAAAATATGTAAATTCATTTCCTGAATTAAGAGTTATTAAAAACGTTAAAAACTACTAAGAAAACTCCCACGAAATAGCTTTTAAATGTGGAATCTAATCTAATCATCCCAAAATAGATAATGGTAAGAGCAACACATAGTTTTCAAACTCGTACACAGCAAGTGTTTTCAGAACAGTCCAACGGGCGTATTTTTGTATTTTTTTTATTATGATTTCTTTTGCGTGTTTCAAAGCTTTCAAAGCAGGCAATTTAAGAAAAAGTACACACTAATTGGCACATGCGGATATCAGCATCCCGCACCTGTCTCAGCGCCCTAAGCTCTATTGTAATGTGTCGTGTTGTCAGCTGAGATGTGTAATTATTTGTCGTAGGGTACTACAACAAAAACAACAACAAGAACAAGAACAGCAATAAGAACAACTACTACAACAAAAAAAAACTACAATCAATGCGAAGCGACTAATTGCGGTTGCTTTTTTAGCTTTTGTTTTTAGTGTTTTTTTTTTTTTTGTGTTTAGGTTGAGCTGTCGCTCGGAGGACGGCGTCGCTGAAAATGTGCGAGAACAGGTTGGAAACTCGTCTCTGTGGATGGGTCATATGACCCCCCTTCCCCCCCAGCTACAACAACAACAACAACAATTAGAAAACTACAGCTACAATTTTTGTACTTTAACTTTAAATAGTAAATTCAACTGACAACACCAACACGTTGTGCCCCGTCCACAATTGTGGCAACGCCTACATCTGTCTGTGCTCCTTTCGGTCGCTTACCTGCAGTGCAGCTGCCAATTTGCGCTCGAGCAATTGTATCTGTCGCTTTTGTTCCTCGATTTCCGTTTTGGCCTCGACTAGGAGTTCGCTGGTGTCGTGGTAGTTCTTCTCCACCTCCTTGGACACCTTGCGCGCATCGTCGACTTCACGTTTCAGCGAATTGACATACGCCTGTTCCGTTGTGGGCGTTGGATCCATGGTGGCCACAATCACATTCGAGCCATATTCCAGATTCTTCTCACGTGATTTCTCACGTTCCAGTTCCGTTTCGAGGGTGCGTATTTTGGCCATCAGCTTCTTGCTCTCCCGATCCTGCGCCTCCCGGTTGCGTAGCTCGAGCGCCAACATTTGCTTGGTGCTCTGCAGATCATCGCGTATCTTATCAATGTCATCCAGCTCATCGGGACTTTCCTCATCGATGGACATGGCCGAGGCGATGCTGGGCCTCGATCCGCCCGCGCCCATTGCTGCGGCACTGTTTGGACCCAGGGCATGGCTGCTGGGCGCCTCGCTTAGCATATTGATCTTTGACTGCGACTTATGCAGCTGCTCCTCGATGGTCATCTGGCGACGGAACTTGCGCAGACCCTCCAATATCGGTTTACTGCGATCGTTTGTCCTTGTGGGTTTCAAACGGATACCACCCTGGATCTGCTTAAGCAGCTTGTTGTGCGAGTTATCCTTCTCAGTCTCATAGATGAACTTGTCATCCACTTTGGTCATCGATTTGCATGTCAATATGGGCTGAGATCTGTAATCATGATTTGGGTTACTATCTGCATAATATATATATATATATGTATATGTGTAGTTTTGATTCTACTTTTAACTGTTATTTTTCCCTTCAACTTTGAGTTGAAGTTCGAATTATGGGCACAAAATTGAATGGATTTATCTTTATAAGAGTTGACCTGGAAGTGATTCAAACTGAGAAACTCATTGTTCATGTTTACTCCTCAGTCAAATCTTAATCGATTTGCGATTCTACTCAAGTTCTTTATTGCAGTTTGTTAGCTTTCCATCTAAGGAAATTTGCTTATGAACAGATTTATGGAAATATCTGATTTATTTTATCATTTATTTACTACTATTATTATTTCAAATATAAGAAAAAATGCCAACAATTCGAACTTGTGAAGCATTCATAAGATAGAGTAAAAGTTCTTAGTTAAGAGAAAACCAAACTAAACTCAATTTGTTTCTAGTCAGTTAGACTAATTCGAATGCATTTGTCGAGGCAACTCTTTTTCATTTTTTCTAGACTGTAATTAACTGATGGCTTTGTATAACACATTTGTAATCGATTATTAATGCTGGTCATTTGCTACTGCTACTGCCAACTGTAGGTAGGTGAGTGGTTTGGTAAATGAGTGGTAAGCTGCTCACCTATCGTTGCATGCCACATGACGCAGCTTCTTGCCGCTCTCCACCTCCTTCATCATCTCGGACCAGTCGGGACGACGGCGCGGTCTCGTTCTATGTGAGAAAGTGAAATAAATGATGGTTTAGTCAAAGGATAACTCTTCAGTATTTGGACTGCCATTGTCCTAGTGCAATGATGCTGGCTGCTTACTTGAGCTTCTCGATCCTTTGCTTTTGCGAATCGGTAAGTGAGCGTTTCTCGCCGGGCGCCAATGGTGGTGGTGGCGGTGGGGGCGCCTTAGGCACCAGCGATGGCAGCGGTGGCGGCGCTGGAACTGCAAAATATATGTGCATACGAGGAAAAGAGGGAGGTAAACAGTTAACTGAGGACTTTACGGGCAGTGTTGGCGATAAATAGTCTAGCTACTGTATTTTTTTATATTTTGCTTTTTTTTTTGCGTATAAATCGTTTAGCGCTGCGTGCACTCGCGGTTATTAAATATAATTTTAATTTAATGAGTTTGCGATTTGTGTCAGTTTTGCTGTTGCTTTTGCGCAAAATTCCCTTCTCCTTTTCCTTCTCCTGCTGCTCATCCTTCTTGCATTTTGGCCCCTTGCTGTACATATCAATTGAATGTGGGGGGTGGTGGGCTTAGAGCTTTATATTCCAATTCGGATGTCTAAAGTTGCCCCGCACATTGGCAGAGATTGAAAAGTTACGACTATAGAGCCGTAATCCCGCACCCTCACCCCCACCCCCTTCTCACTACCGTCTCTATCAATTTGTTTTATTGCCCTAACACCTCCCACACCCCGTCGAAGGCGAAACCGCATCGGGGCAAAACTTTGATTGCATTTGCTTATATTTCTTGTTGTTTTTTTTGTTGTTGTTTTTTTGTTCGTTTAGTTTCGTTGCGCTTGACTCGCCTTTGCTTTTGGATTTAGTTTGGCTTAGTTGGTGGTCTTAAAGTCCGTGATGCGCTTTTGCCGGCTTTTGTTAGCTGGGCCAATTACTTGCGTAATATTTTTGTTGCCTGCTGTTTCGTCTCAAATAAATTTCCGCTTAAATTGCTGGCCTAACAAGTTCCCTGAGACTTGCCAACTTCCAGGGACAGACTTCATTCCTTTCCAGTTGTTTCCCTTGTAATTAGCAATTGAGAAAGTTTTTTTTTTTTTTTGTTTTTCGTTTTGCTTTTCATATAGCCCGTATCGCTTATACATACATTGCCAACCCAGTGACTTCTACACACTTTGTATACAATACTTTGCATTCTTTGCAGATACTTTTTCAAGCAAACTCCAGCCCTTCCCCCTTCAGACTGTGTACAGGTTGCTGACTTGGCTTTGTTGTTGTTTGCTTATTAAAAAAAAAGAAGAAAAAAGTGCAAGAGTCAAACAACTGCTTAAAACAATACTGGGCGCCAAAGTGATGAAAAGCTGACAAATCTGTTAATTATCTTTGTTTGAGTGAACCACCGACAACCCAAGGACACCCAACTTTGACGGCGACGACAACGACTCCCCCAACCGGGCCACACTTCGTGACTTATCCTCCCTTGTCTCATCGTCCGTCTTAGCCGAAAAGCCAGTCAGCCATACAGCCAAGAAGCAGGAGCAGAAATACATCTTTATCCTTTTGTTTGGCTGCTCTTGCTTTGCTGGTGCTTCTTTGGGTTTCTCTGGTTTTAGCAGTTGCGCCTCGCTGAACCTGCACTTAATCTTTAAGTGGTTGGCTGCTTCTTTGAGGTGCTGCATTAGTTTCTTTGCCTGTCTCTCACATATATTTGGATATATATATATATAGACACATATATACATATGTATAGTGTCTGCACCTGAGTGTGCTGAGAAACTAATCCTGAAGTCGTGTTACTTGGCTCGAATGAAATCAGTGCCAAACTTGATTATTGCCTGGCAGTTACCCGGCTGCATGTTAATGTACTCCTCCTTGCCCCCCCCGGCCCCGCATCGGCACGTTCTGTGTCCTCTTTTTGGCCATTTGTAGTCACTGATTAAAATACGTGGTCAACTTTTTGGGCAGCCAATTGAGCGCTCGTTTAGTAAGTTTCGCTTAATTCGTTTTAGTAATTTATGGCAAAGCTCTGGCAAAAGCGGCATCCTAAATCAGTGCACACCCCCAACAAACACACAAACGCACACACACACACACACACACACACATAGACTGCACAAACACATATAAAATGAAAACAGAAAAGATAGAGAGAAGAAAACAAAAAACTTGCCCCAATGCTTTGTTGTGGATAGGGGTTGAGATTGCATGTTGTGTGTACTGTGGTGTTTGGGTCCCGGGACAGATAAAACTCTTCATTCATTCATTCATGTCGACAAAATTATTTCTTATTTAAATAAAATGCTGAGCAGCGGTCCCACAGCGTCTCCGAGATGATGCTACCCACTTAATATACCGCAAAGCCCCCACTTACAACGACGCCAAAATGAATAGCGGGGTATGTAAACATAAATTTTGCGAGCTCACTCCGTGTTAGATCCCCCCCCAAGTACCATACCCACTTGGTATATCCACTTGGTATACCCTGTTCCTTTTCGTTGTTACCCTCTCTCTCTCCCGATCATCTCCTTCTGTTGCTGGTGCCTGCCCCCCTTGCTGCTCTGCATGCTTCGTGCTGCTGTTGCTCATTGTGTTATCATCAACCGAGAATATTCTATGCATGCACAAATGTTGCCGTTGTCATTGAATCACGCTGGGCCGAGTGAACACAAAGTGTAGCGTATCGCAAGGGGACAGTGGAGCGGATGGTGGGTGGGAGGCGGGTGGCATTTGCATGGACTCCAGTTTGATGACTGACTTTGTTCGCCTTTGTCTGAGCTTCTGGCATGATGAAGCGCTGTGTGCTGAGAGTCAGCCGTATTTTACAGTCACAGCCCGCACTTCTCACTGCCACACACTGACAGCCTTAATCCCAGGCGGGATACTGGCGCTTGATTAACATTTTGTCATCTTGTTAATAACTATATTTGCCAGCTCATTTGTGGCCAAAAACTACAAAACAGTGCACAGCACGTGAACTACACTACTAAAAATCAGCTTTGAATGAAGTCCAGTAAAAATCGATTACTTGTACTAATCGATTGTGATCACAAAACTATGTTTTTAAAAAAAGGCAACTTAAATATTAAAGCCATCGTTTGAATATTTCTAAATGTGGCAAACCTAATGCTAAATAAAATATAAAATTTCAGCATTTAACGCGAATTGAACAGAGTCGAAGTAAAGTGTTCACAAACAATTTCCTGCTCCAATTATTTATTTATTCGACCATTTTATTGGTGGCCAGTGTAATTATTGACAACGAAGTGCGGCGTGTACCAGCGATTTGCTTTTACGTCATGTCCAAATTTTAAATGGCCTAATCATGTTTTATGCATTGACTCCACCCCAACCAAAACCAAAACTGCCCTCCTTCAGCTGCACCTATTGAAAGTCGACGTTTCTAATGGCAGCCAAAATGAAGCACATAATAAATGAAAAAAAAAAAAAAAATGTAGCATAGCCCTTACATATCGTTAAAAATATATATACACTCACACACACACACACAGAAATCTATATGTATATATATAATATATAGACCAGGCTCATTTAAATAAAAGAAAATATAAATTTTTGTCCAGGCGCTTGTCCTCTTGGCTGCTTTGAAGACATTTGCTGTGGACTTTGCGGCCGCCTTTTTTTTATTTTTGTATTTTTTGGTTCGTTTTCTCGTTTTTTTAGTGCGTATATTTGAATATAAATGGCGCATTTAGTTTGGCTATATCAAGCACATGGCCATATATCTTGGCCAGCTTTTGTCCTTAGAAGAACTCAAGAACGAACTAAAACAGTTGCCTCTCTATTTCTGTATCTGTCTCTGTCTCTGTCTCTGTCTCTGTCTCTGTCTCTATCTCTGTCTCTGTCTCCGTCCCTGTCTTTGACTCTGACTCTGACTCTATTGATAGTTGGCAGCTTTAAGGAACCTCGAGAAACCAAAACCCAAAGTGCCTTTTCCACTCATCTATCCTCATCTGGTTTTAAACATTCCACTTTATGTTGTACTTTTGACACAATGAGCAATAATCATGAATTTTACTTAGATCATAAAAAGAGAAAACCCTCAAAGGCGGCCCAAGACGTCGTCCGAGCACATTAAATAAATGTTTTTCTTTTCTGTCTGCATTGTTGCCTTTTTTACTCGCATATTTTTTGTATTTTTTTTTTGTTTGTTTTGTTTTTGTTGCTGCTGCTGCTGCTGCTATTTTTTATGCGACAGCTTTAAAGGACAAACGTTGGGCACAGCGGTTACCATTTTGTTGAGTGACCTGCCATACGATTCTGTTTCCTTTTTATCCCCATCTTTGCCCCTCTCACACAACGCTGGCGCGTCTTGCCTTTTGTTCGCCTGGCAAAGATTAGGACGCATTTGCGGTCACGTTATTGCCCACTGATTAGGACATGCTCACAACTCGGTAGTTAACTGCGCCTCCAACCCTTCGCTCACACCCATACACACACCTTATAGTATATAGGATATACCCTTTTGCCTTACTGGCACTTAACGTGCTTTTCACTTCATGCTTGTCAATTTTTACCCCTTGAGCGGCGGCTTTGCAATTCAATTTGTTAACTTTTGCAACTCACAGTTATAATTCTCAAAATTGAGTATTAGAAATTGACAGCGCTCGCGGCCACAAAATGCATTTCGAATATTACGAATTTTTCTCGCAGCTTTCCTTTGCTTTTATATTTTAATAATTTTATGGTTTTGTTTATTTAGTGGGCGGTCGAAAAAGTTTTGTGCCTTTTCCGATTCAATGCCCAGCACTCACTAAAAGTTTAATAAATTAAATATGTTATTTATATTGCTTTTTAGCCATCGTCTTATTTGTCACATTTGTGTCCTGTGTTTTTTGTGTGTATGTATATTTTGTCAGTGTGTCTTTATGCGCTTTGTCGTTTTTGTTTGGCTGCACAAATTTTTGATGAAAAGTTTTCATTTCATACTTAAATTCATATGTGTGTGTGTGTGTGTACACTGATGCACACACACTGATGCATATATGATAAACTCTTGATGCGTTTTTCAGTTGACGCGCAGTTGAACCTGAATGGACTTACATATATGCACTCATATTCATGGGTGTGGGCAAAATGTCATACACATATGTGTATGCATGAGTGTAGTCTAGAGATGGTCACATGACTCAAAATATTCCGTCATGCATAATGAAAATGCAGTCTGAATTACATTTGTGTCTCACACATATTTTTTTTTTTTTTTGTTGTGATATGCTGGAATTTGGCCACTCTGAATCTCTCTGACTCTGACTTATAAATAGATACTGCATTTTGAGTGAAAACTTGATACGGATAGCATGTGTGACCGACCAATGGTGTATGCAGGTAGGAACAGGCAGGTAAGTTGACTCCGCTTACTATAGTCGGTTTCCTTTCAACAAAAGCTCGGTCCACCCTTGCATGTGACTCTTTTAAATATATCATATATTTAATCTACTATTAATGCACTTAAATCACAGTATTAAAGTGACTCGGGCAATTTAATATGAGTTTGCATACGTTTACAAACTGAAAGAATAGCAAATGCTTTCCTAGTCCTATAAATTACTATCCTGCCAGCCTTTAGCAATATTCAGTGTTTAATCTTATGTTTCAATTATGTGCGGAACGTTTCTATTTGTCCAATATTTACTTATTTATTCGAATGTTAAGAGGTAAAGAAATATATGAATACAACTTTTATTATGCACAAATTATATTTAACATAATTGTCTATTTTTAACTTGCTTTTAATTTTTCTATAAATTATATTTATTCAAATTTTCGTTTTTATTTATTGGTTTCTTTATGCACCTAATTAATTTGGAATCTATATTTAAAATTTGGTTTTTGATTTTGCAAGTATTTGACCTAATTAATTTTGCGTGTAAATCTCTCTGTCATAACAGTTAAGCACTAATCTGATTTGCACAGTCACGCACCCATCCCCAAATCTCAATAGACTCTCTGCCCGATACCTGTGCTCATAGTATACATCACTCATACGCTACGTTTGGCGCGACTGTCTCTTATATTTGATTCATTTCGCTGTGACGTCTGTGGGCCTTGCCTTTCGCCAGCATATTTATGTCCCATTTGTGTACTGATGAGAAGGAGAGGGAGAAAGTGGCGCGGGACCACAAATGAGACAGTCCAATGCGAAAAATTCACACGGCCAGTTCATTGATATTTGTGTGTATATCTATATATATTTATATATATATCAATTGCGATATTAAAAATACCCAAAAATATCTAAAATACTCAAATACGATTTTTGCCTGGATTAAACATTTTTCTTTCGTTTTAAACATTAGAGAAGCGTCAAGAATATTTACAGCATTTTGGCGATCCATTAGAGTTGTTAATCGGGGTAGTTTAGCATCCAGAGTCGTGCCGATTATCTGGCTCGATCCAAACTTACCATTTTTAATTGAGGGCGCTTTCCTCAGGGTTTTGGTCTTGAATTCGGGCTTGGGTTCTTCTTTGGGTTCTTTGAGTATTTCATCGATTTTGGGTACCTTTTTCAGCACTGGCCGAATCTTGGCTAAATTATCGGAGCTCTTGCTGGGCAACGGTTTCTCCTCGCGCTTCACATGCCTCAGCTTTGGTTTCTCGAGCTTGAAACGCAAACGACGCTCGCGCTCCTCCTCCGTTTCGCCGTCGACGGCCTCATCATCGTCCTCGGGCGCAATCTTTTTCATCGACTTGTCCCGCTTGACCACAACGCTGCGCAATTTAGGTTTCTCTAGTGTGAAACGCTGTGTCAACTCACTTTCCTTCTGATCCGGCTTCTTGTTGATCTGCGTCGGACGGAGTTGTGCCGCCTTCTTCACATGTTCCGGCAACTTGGCATCCAGCGTCGTGTCATCATCATCATCATCGTCATCATCGTCGTCATCGTCTTCTTCTTCGGTTTCCTCTTCTTCACTTTCTTCCTCAGACTCAGTTGCCTCTTCACTTTCTTCCTCCTCCTCTTCTTCGCTTTCTTCTTCCTCGGAGGATGACTCAGGCGGCGGCGTGGGCTCCTTCTTTTTAGCCGCTGGCTTCCTTGTGGCCAAACTGGTTGCCACTTTCTTCACTGGTTCTGGTGCTGATTTTTTCACTGGTTCTGGAAGTGCTTTTTTCACAGGCTCTGCGGTTTTCTTCACTGCTGCTGCTGTTGTTGATGCCTTCTTCGCTGGCTCGACAGCTGTCTTTTTGGCCGGCTCAGCTGGCTTTTTAGACGCAGTTGTTGTTGTTGTTGCTGGCGCTGGCGCTGCCTTTCCTTTGCTGTTGGCTGTTTTTGTGGTTGTTGTTGTTGGTGCTGGTGCCGGCGCTGTTGCTGCCTTCTCCCCATTCTCCTTGGTTGCAGCTGCCTTTTTAGCCCACGGCTTAGTGGCAGCCACATTGCTGGATGCTGTGGCAGCATCCTCCTTCACCCACGGCGGACGAAATGTGGTGCGTCCGCTGCTGCCTGCGCCAGCGCCAGCGCCGCTGCCAGTGCCTGTTGTTGTGCTACGGGGCGACACGAAGGGCATTTTGCGCAAACTTAACGTCAACTGTTTTCCGTTCTGTTAATTCTCCAGGGGTTGTTGTTATAGTTTTTGTTGTTGTTGTTGCTGCTTTGGATGTTGCTGCTGACACACAGTTTTCGCCCACTTTTCGTCGTCTATTTGCACACACTTTTTAAATAATTTTCTGTGATTTTTCCCCTCGTTGTTGTTGTTGTTGTTGTTGTTGTGGATGAAAACATAAAACTTTGCACATTAGCACCAGAGCACCAACCGTTGACGGTGAGACGTTGTCCGGGTAGCAGAGACCTTCACTTGGCTTACTCTCCACTTGTCCAAAAGTTATTTCAAATTGCCGTTTGTTTTTTTCTTTTTTTTTTTTTGCGCTAAATTATTTTGATATTTTTTTTACATATAATTTTTGTTTTATTTTAGTTCGTTTGTTGCTGTTGCTGTTGTGCTATTTATTGAAAAGTCTGTGCTGTGTTGGACGATGAGCAACAGCTGTTTAAAATATTTTCAATTCTCAATTCCGTATATATTTGGGTATGTTTCATTTCGAGATTTTATTTTTAAATGCATGCGCTCATTAGCTGGCAACTCTCGTTTGTTGTTGCTATTCTTGTTGTTGTTCTTGTTGTTGTTGTTGTTTTAGCTTGTGTATCTTTGTTTTATCCAAAAACCGAAATGTAGGCTTTTGTGTCATAGTAACAATCGGCGCGCAATTCGCTGTCTAAACTGCTGAAATTGGCCCAAGCTAACAAGTGATGCTCGTTTAATCCTATGAATTTTTCCAGTACAACAACAGCAACAACAACATCAACAACAACAATGACAACAACAGCAACAACAACAAAAACAACAACAAATGACAGCAAAACAATTTGCTCTGCCACTGCCTCTGATATGTAAAAGGCAAAAATATTTAATTTTAGGTTCTTTGTGGCCCCAGAGAGCCAAAGCGTCGGGAGAATTCGACCAAAAAAAAACCAAACACGAAAAATCCGAAAAAAAAAAAGAAATCAGCTTTGGCTATAGCACTTTCGTCTTTTGCCGCTCTCGCCTCGTTTCACAAAGTATACAATGAAATTCACACACACTCTAACACATTTAGAGAACCAAAAAATTAAAAAAAAAAAAAAAAGAAAAGAAAAAACCTGGACGAGGCGAGAGAATGAAATGTGAATTTGATTCATTCCATTGCCAGTTTCCATGGCTTTTTCTTTCATTTCCATTTCTCCAACGGCCTTTTGCAAATTTTTTTTTTATTTTTTATTTTAACCCAATGATATGGAAAAAATGTTGCTGTTGCCTTCTGTTGAAGGCGTTAATTTAACATGACATGCAAATAAAATTGTTACTTATACATATGCCGTCATTAGGCGAAATTATATAGACGATGAGCTATAAAAGCCCAAATAAAATGAAGGCCAGAAATTTGAGAAAAACTTATTGCAATGTTTAGATTTTTTCGCCAGAAATCTATCAGTGCAAATAAATTAAAGATTTCATTAGCGTTTTTCTTCCTTTTTTTTTTTGTTTGTAACCCTCCATGTGTAATAGTAGTTTTCTTCTGATACTTATTTATTCAAAGGCATATTGACTGAGCAAATCATTTTGGTATGCTGCGCATTTTGCTTGATTTATTTTTATATGTAAAATTAATTTGTAAAATTATTTTTCAATAAATTTTGTTGCTTTATACAGTTGCATTGCACACTGCGCACACGTTTATAGACTGCTTTTATTTCTATATATTGCTTAAATCGTCCACACCCACACTATACAGACACACACAGGCGCACACACACGTACACTGTGGCACAGTGGGGCAAGTAAACACAAGACGCTTTATAGACGCTGATTTTTTCTCGGCACGCACCGCCTATGACAGCGGTTCAAAAACTAAATTCATGTATTTATAACAGCACGCTAAATGCTTGAAAATTTCGAAAAACAACTAAAACAAACACGCTCTCATTGACTCTACGAACATACAGAGCAGCGCAGTCCTCTCTTCGTAAAAATTCAGAAAAATGAAATTGAAAATTATTTTGGCCGACAAAATATTTTTAGCATTGCTCGGACATTTGGGCGCTCGCAGCCGATTGACCTTATAGCAGGTGCAGCATAGTTCAATGAAACTGGAATTATGAATATATATAAATATATATATATACAGTTATTTATAAGTAAGTAACATATATGAAGTATGTGCCTAAGTAGCCGTCACAGCTGCATAACATGTACTATGCACTTATCATAAAAACAAATCTCTTATCAATTGCCCTTAAGCACACGAAATAATGGGTCTCAATTACGCAAGTTTCTTTGCCGTAGTGTTGGGTGGGTGGGGGGGTGTTTTTGGGAGGGCGTATACGCGTCTTACCCTGTGATAAAAACCACTCGTCTAGAAAATCCAAACCCATTAGAGCCTCTGTTCTTTTGTACTCCTGTTAAATGTTTTTTTGTGCTGATTCTTGAATTTCTTTTGCAATATTTACATTGTCGCAGTTGCGAGTTGTCGCCTCTTAATCGTGCTCGTTCTCTCTTTGTGCAATATGTTGAATGCAATTGACATTTCACGTGGACTGATTGCGGATTTGCTATCGTTTAGTGCGTGATCTTATTTATAGAGTACTCAATGATTGCATATCGATTAGATGAACGTGAACCATATCGAAGTGTTCAGCAGATGCGAAACAGTAGATCTTTAAGTAGCTACATGTAAGAAAAGAAATTGTATTAAGTAGAAACGACTTATAGAATAAAATAGATTACGCTTCAAAAGGAAAGTATTTTAATTATACGCGGTAGCAGTAAAAATTCGACGACAAGAGCAAAAGCAAAAAAAAAAATACTTTGCCAAAAGGAAGAGGTACTGATAAGTCCTGAAACAAGAAATTAGTCTGAAAAGGTGGCGCACATTAAGATTCGACGTCTGTGCGTTAAAAGGGAGTAAAAAGGCAAACAAAACACAGGCAAGCATTATTATAAAAAAAAAAGTAAAAATTAATCGGATTGAAAAGAAGAAATGCAGAGCGTATTTCTGAGAAATGCAAAAGGAAGCAATTACAAAATGATGATGAAAAAAATGTAATAACAGACGGAAATATGTATAAGGTGCAGTTGAGACGGGAACAATGGAGTCCAAGTCTGTTAAGACTTCAGGGAATCAAATAAGAATGAACAAAAACTGGCATCATTGAAAGCCCCCTCTCAGTATCAGATTATTATTTGAAATGTGCCTCTCATAATTTAAATTAATGTTAACTTGCCGCACGTCAGCGTCAAATGACTGAAATATCTCAAAATTAAATGCGACCACAGAGGTAGTTAATATGTATTTTAATTGATGCCACAAAATTTAATGCATGAAAATATGCCTCGAAAATAATCCGAAATTGTTGGCTTTGTATCAATCAATTTAAATGCAGCAAAACTCTTGCTTAAGCAACAACTAAACCAAAACATTAACTGACAGAATTTTCAATTAGAATACTTTTCAATACTGTCATTTGCATGTATTCTGATTTCACTAGGCGTATGAGCTATAAATGCATTGCCAAAGAGAATGGGAAAAGTGGACGCTTAAAGATTATTCCATATTTTAAAACTGGCACAGCTGAAATAAACCTCATAGTTTTTTTGTTTTGCTTTCTATTTGATATTTCCCTGGTGAAATGCATCTGTGTCTGTGTTGTGTTTTGGGAGTAATCGTAAATAAATGCCAGCATATTTTTCAGGTTGAATTCAGCAAACATATCTGCGCTGCATACTTTTTGGCGTTGCCAGATATCATACACTGCAAACATCTTTTCAGAGCAAATTTTAAATAGTATATAATTTAATTATAACTGTTTCTGCATGTTGAGGTGTATATTTATATTATATATCTATAATATTCTCTAATTTAATACAGTTCATTGTGTAATCGGTTATTTTTGATTAAATTATATGTTTATAAGCCGATAATAGCATAAAAAATATATATATATATATAGAAAGAAAGATTTTAGACTTTAACTTAGTGCTGGGTATTTCGATGACGAATAATTTAGTGAATTTATCAAACGGTGCTTAACTACGTGTTTTTGCATTCGTATTTTGAAATCAATGATTAATGGATGTTCTAGAACTCAGTAGCTACTATTTCCCGGTCAAACACTCTTAATTAAATCATTTTCGTTGACCTGTTTCCTTTTGCGCACAGTTACATTTTTGTTGAAAATCAAAGCCCAAATGAATACAATTAAAGCACACTTTGGCACTGAGTCTATTTATATTTTGTTGTTGTTTTGCTGTGGTTTTTGTTACTTTTTTATATGATGACAAGCTGAAAACTTGTCATGGCCATAAATCAATTTGATGATCGTAGACAACTTTTCAGCGGTTTTTAATTAAAACAAAATCAAAAAAAAAAAAAACATTGACATGCGAAATTTCCGAGCAATCAATTGCAAATTGTTGAGACAAATAGTTTTTAAATGAGGAAGCTTTTTAAATTGTAATGCTAATAGTTTATTTTATTTATATATATGCTTTCTCTCTCTCTCTTTCTCTCTCTATTGTGAAATACTGTATATGGGCGCCACTTCCTCTCCCTCTCTCTCTCTCTCTCTTAAAGGCACTCTGGTGATTTTTCTTTAATAAGTAGCTTCTTCAATGTTTAGGTTCAATCTTTTTGGCCGCAGGCGGTGCCGCTGCGATGTCTGTGGTGTTGACCTGTGTAAAATGCGGCCACGTTGAAATCTCCTGAAACAGTCGGCCGCCAGGGCATTCAGTATCCCGCACCTGTCGATGGCCCAGTAGCTTGTATGCCGGATCTATGTAGCCTTGTGATACACCGAAAGTAATTAAATCCTTCGCAGCCTGCAGCATGCAAGGTGGCGGAAGTTCAACTATAAATAGAAAAAAAAAATAGATTTTTATTGAAAAAACAATATTATTATCAAGAGGAAATAAAGATATAAAGCACCGTTTATATTATTAGCTTAGTGAGGCTTTAAGACTGTAAAACATATTCCGGGGATATTTTGTCAAGCATGAAAACTGTGAGACGCGTGGGTTTTTGCGATTTGCGAATGTGACTAATCGATTTTTAAAATTTAGTGACGAACTTCAAATAATTTTAAATATAAAAATAATAAAATCTTTAATTTATTCCAAGATTAAAGTCTAGCTTCGTCAATATTCAAATATTCATACTCTATGCTCTTCTAATCAAAGTAGTCAAATACTCACTTTGCCAGTCGCCAATGAGAACAATGCCCACACTTTTGTCATTATATTTGGGAGCGTGCGCGCCGACGACATTGAAGCCGCGTCCCGTATAGATCATACCATCGCCGCCAATGCCAAAGCTATAGCCAATATCGTTCCAGCCGCGATCCACCTGATGGAAGTCCTGCATGCTCCGCATGCTGCGCTTGCAATCCGGCGTGCTTTCACACGCAGCGGGTATGTAAGAGTGATGTATGATGACATAGGGCGCTGGTCCCTTAAAGTAATCAACCTGCTTGGCCATGCGTGCTCCCCAATCGGCGCGAGACAGCAGCTGTGACCTGCCTCCAGATGCGACCGCACCGCCCTCCGTCCCGGCGGGTTGCATGTGTTGGCTGTAACCTGCAAAGGTAAAAACACAAAATATATTGGCCATCAGTATATTGACTTGTTTAGTGAAGTTTTCAGCTGTTTTGGTTGTGTTTGATTTGTATATTTACAGTTTACGACAATCTCGCACTGTGTGTGGCAAAAGTTTGTTTGCCTTAATTGCGTTAGTTTTGTGTTTGACCTTAACGTTAACGTTAAAGTTAACTTTAACGATAACTTTAACTTTAACTTTATCGTCTTTCTATTTAAACTGGTATGTGGTGCATTCCCATTGATAAATGATTTCAAACGGATTCCCCCGATGGCCTTTGTGTGTGTGTTTGTTTGTGTGTTGCCTCAACGAGGTGAGAAATCGAAATGAACCACCCAAGTCAAATCGACATCGGAACGCTTCATAAAAATTCCCCGCATACCACTTAACAAGACGCAAAAACAAGAGAGTCCGAGGGAGAGAGAGAGAGAGAGAGACTTGCAGGGTGAGTGAGCGAGAGACAACGAAAGGGTAAGAGAGAACGAGAAGGGGAGAGAATGGACCAACAATAACTGCTTAAACTTAACAAACGAGTCGTTGCCCCAAGTTAATCGCTTCGACTATATCGTTTTCAAATAGTATGTAGATTGTATTTTTGTCTCTCTATCTATGGCTCCCCACCGGTGTATCGGTGTATATTTCTTTGCCAAATGTGTCAATTAATGAACCGGCCTCAGGCCATATATAATATGCATAAGTATTACTCAGCTTTTTTTGCTTTTTGTTTACTGAATACGCTGCGAAATGCGAAATGTCATGCTCTTTGATGCAGGTGTTTGCATACTCGATACACTACTTCCTGCATTTTCAGCTAGGGGGGAACTATTATAGAAAGTCCGGGGAGAAAGAATATAAATCAAAATATCTTCTAGGTTGAGAGCAACTCAATGATGATTCAGATCTCCAATACTACTTCTAGTGTATTAAAATTAAAGTGAAGCAACGTTTTCAAGTTTTTTAACAACTTAATAATTTTTCAGCTGCTTCTGCTATAAATAAAATGACGAGTGTATCTGCATTATAAATAGTCTTCTATTTACTTAGCTGTAATTTAATTTTTATAATTTTTACCAAGCTCTTTATACCTTCAATAATGCCTTTTGTGTGAATAACCAAATTATTGGTAACAGTTGTGTATATTGTATATTACTATGTTAGGGTATATCTGTTGTCGCGTTGAACAGGTCTGTCTTGATATATTGCAAATAATAATGAGTCAGCTCCACAAATGAATTCAACTAATCGAACGCGTCGTCAACAGGTTGTATCATCTATCAGTTTTGGCCCGTTATCCGGTAACACAGACAGCTCTAGACCAAAAATCGGCCTTCAAAGTCAACTTTCTGCTTGTCGCCCAGCGCTAGTCATAAATTCAAATGTTCCACCAAAAACTATTTCATTCATTTAATGTGGGTGTCTGTGTGTGTGTGTGTGTGTTTGGATATATATATAGATATATATAAATAAATGTGTTTTGTGTGTGAGCGTGCTTGCGTAGAAAGAGAGTGAAACTTTAGCGGCATCCATTTGGAATGTTTGCCGAGGCGTCGACATCGTCCCAGCCGGCTGCCGCCGCACTGCCTCACTGCCACACTGCCACACAGCCTCCTGCCAACAGCCACGCCCACTTCCTGACGCATTTATATGCATACGTAAAGTTAGTATGGAAAACGCAAGTTTGGGACGCGAAACTGCCAGAATGGCGGGGGGACATGAAGCCGCCACACTTGACTAAGTTAACAGCAGCAGTTTCTAATTAAAATTTTAGAGAGCTGAACATTTTTGTTAGCACCTGCGCCAATCCTAACTCATACACAGAGAGTAGAGTGACATTACAGGAGCTGGGGCTGCAGCTGAAGCTGAAGCTGAAGCTGAAGGTCTCATCTATTGGCAGCGTGTGCTTGAATAACAAATAGAGCGTGCACCGCATGTAGCGCAGGAGGTTAAGGGGGCGGGGGCGGGAGGCGGGGTGTGATGGCTGCTGTCAAATCATTTGCTGTTAAATTTATGCCCTCCGCTATTTTGCTAGTGTTACATGTTAATTACGTTTATATTCTCGTATATTTACCGTTAACATTGCGGCACACACACGTAGAACACGAACATCAAATTTAACGCAATCGTCTACCCCTTTTCCCCCTTTCGTGAGTACCCCGCGTCATCATCCATCTCTATACACGTCTCTCTAATCGTTGGCCCTAATTACGCGGCCTAATAAAGTAAACATTAAACTCGTTGTGCTAATCAATATAGCAAACTACTGACACAAACACACACACACACCCACACACCTATACCTATATATATATAATATATTTTTCTATATATATCTATAGCCACATCTACACTCTCATAAGTAAGTTTACTCTTGGGTGTTTAATAATTTGTTTGGTTCTGTGGTTGGGGTTGTTTAGGCTCCGCACTCCTCTCATATTTCATTAGGAAATTACTTCAAAAATGTAATTTGGACTATCTTGCCTCGAGGCTGCAGATGGGCTGCAGTGATTTCTTTGATAATTGGATAAGGCCTAATTCTTGTGAATTTGATCAAATTGTGTCTCATAACTGAAGTATTTAATTTATTCAATTTGCCACCGTGGCCATAAATAGCACCTTGCCCCCCCGCGCGCACTAATTGTTTGTTTTTAATCAACCAAAGCACATAAAATATGCTATTTATTCACATACAAACACACCACTGAAAGCATATATGTCTATGCGTATACCATGAGCAATTATTTTGTTTTAAACAACAAAAATATGTTATTATCTGTCATAATATGGCATACGAAATATTTCGATATTTCAAATAATGCCACGTTCATTTCATGAAATCGAAAATGACAAAAAAAGTCCCTGAAAACACACAAACAAAAACAAACAGAAAGCAAACAATATTTCAAAACAAGAAAGCGAGTCAGAATTATTGCAAAAGTCTACATACTCTAAAAAACATTCTAAAATTGTATAAAAAAAAAAGACTTCAAAGAATGTTTTCCTCCATACAAAATTGTATTATATAAATTGGCTGAGTTACTTTTATAAAATAAATAGCTTTATAATGATTTAAATTCAATATTCAAGTCGAAAGGAATCTTATTCAATATTGTATTTAATATTTTTCTAATTTGCAAACAACTTCATAATTTAGTTGTACTGCAGTGAAAAGGGTATTTGCAAAATAATAAATTATAATATGTATATTATACAAATTCGCCTGTCCGATTGTCAATGATTGTGCCGTGTTTTCGCTTAAATGACATTTTTATTAAATGCGAGCTAATTAAATTTGCGCTTGAATATGGAACATAAATTCGCATAGTGCGGCTATATAAATCACTATATGCTCGAGAGATGCATATCTATCTCTCAGTTGATTTGTGCTCTTTTATTTAGTTTACAGGGTGAGCTGGTAACGACTTCCAGTAGCAGGTGTCAGGCGCACAGCATTTCCTGATAAGCGCCACTTGCTGGCTGACTTTGTGTGCTATATATGTATGTGTGTGTGTGTGTGTGTGTGTGTGTGTGTGTGTGTGATAAACATGTGTATTTCAGGGGCAAGTTAGCGATAAGGCCTAGTGTTGGGCCTCATGACACTTACCCATCATTGATAGCAAAAGTAATCCAAGTGCTGTCATACTTGCAGGTGTTGCGAGTATTTTCGGCTGCTTATTGAGGAACTTTTTTTATGAGTTTTTTTTTACTTGTGCACAATTTGCGACTTTTCTCTCTCTTTTTTTTTGTTTTTTAATATAAAATTTAGGAACTTTGTTTAAATGTGTATTTGTGTTGGCGTTTTTTGTTTGGCAAGAGTTGTGCAAATTTTATTCGAGGTCAAATTTTCACATGCTGGTCCCGAATCTTTTTTGCTATTTTTTTTTTTCAGTTTGTTTTCTTTCCTTTTGTTTTTATGTTTTTTTGCGATATGTTCGCATTCACGCGAATCTGAAGAGCGAATGGTTGGGCAGCATAAGGGCGCACCAATGTTTATAGACGCGTACCAAAAATGAAATAAAAAAAAAAAAACCAAAATTTTTTCTTTGGTAATCTTTTTTTTGTTTTTTTTTTTTTTGTTTTTGCTCGCACCAGCGCTGTCGACGTCAGCGTCGCTGTTGTTGCCTGCGCGCAATGCCAAGCATTTTTTAAATCGCATGAAATTTATTACCAAGCGCCAACAGCGGCGTCTGCGTTGGCGTCGTTAACAACTTTAGCGCCGCTCATCGGATCGTTCGATTCGCTCTTCGACGCTCCGCTGCGCTCGCTTCCGCTCTGCGGAGCTCAGCAAATTTGATTTGATCGCTCGCAGCTCTCAATTAGCTGATAATGTTGTTATCAGCTGTGATATGGGGATTTGTCTTTTTTGCCCAAATTAGTATGTTCGACTCGCGAACCGTTGGGTATCAAAGGTTGACTCGTCCCTGTGTGAATTACACATGGGCGACAACACACATTTTGTATATATTTGCAAAATAATTGACCTCATTTTGAACTGTGCCTCGGCTTGTCGGGTTGTCTGTCTGCCTGATGGACGGTACTTTTTTTTATTTGCACTTGGGTTACGGGTACTTTTTTTCCCTTTCCGATCGCATACATTATGACTTGGCATAAATATCAAATTAACCCGAACTTTGCTACGCTTTCCATTGGCAACATTGACAAATGGCTCGTCGTTCACAAGCGACAGGCATTTATCAAATCGGCTGAGCTTAGTATTATTTTCTTTAATGGTTTTCTTTTATGGTATCAACTAAATGATTATCTAATCTTTTTCATATAATGCCAAATCATTGTGTTCTAAGTGGATCGCATGATATGTATAACAATCGATTTTATTTTTGATTAGATAGAATCTATTTTAAACAATCTATATAAGCAATTCGCTAAATTACCGTATAAATTTGAATGCTGTTTTTTGATGGTCATTTGAATTTATATTCCTTGAGAGAAAGTCACAATATTCGCTTAAAAGTTATAAGTCCCAAGGCCTCTTATCTAGTATGCATAGATCAGCACAACATTAATCACAATCTTGGTTAAATATTCGCGTCTTTTAACTATACACACGCGTATACTCTTTGGCGCCTATCAGTTTTGTCTGACATAACTGCAAGATGTCTTTGAAATAGTTATCTAAAATTCTTAAACAACTGTAAGATGCCTTTGAAATAGTTATCTAAAATTCTTAAACATCTATATAACTGTATGGGAATTATTGCACAGCTGTATTAACTGTTGCAGCGATAGTATTTCCCCTGATTATTTATCCAAGATTTAATCAATTTCTTGTACTTTTTCAGCTGCATTCCTCAATAACAACTAAATGACCTATCGGTGCCTTACACAGACCTAATGCATTTATCACTCTCTTCAAACCCGTCTCATGTCTCTCGCTGAAAAATTGTTGTATTTTAATACCTTAAACGGCGGCAGTTTTGTGGGGATGCCCCTGTTGATTTCGAGGGGAAGCCCATCTTATATGTATTTGTTAAATTACTTTAGTCAACGACTCGCGTTTCCATAGTTAAATTAGCAGCTGCTTTATTTGAGTTTTTTTTTTAAAACTCAAATACCAAGTTGTTAGGGTATGTAATCATTCTAATAGAGTTTGTGACATTTTGAACGGAATTATTAAACGATTTTGATATCTAGCCTTACAAAGCCATGTTTTTATCTAACAAAATGGTTTTTTTTTTCTATTTTGTTAGCGTTATCGGACGCATGACGCATTTCGAAATTTTGACCTTAGTTCAACAAAAACATTTTAGAAATGTCTGAAATTAGCATAATTTTAAATAGAAGTGGCACAAATATAATTTTATTTTACCACAAATATGGCCTCTGGGGGAATCGAGGTTTAGAGCTCTCTGGCCAAAAACTAGTTATACGGGCAGATCCGGCCAAATGGATTTTCCAAAATTCGCAAACGGTTGTATAGGATGTATTAAATCACAATGCAAAAAAAAAAAAAACATTTTGTTAAAAAAAAAAAAAATGGTATTTTGGCGATTGTGGGCGTGTTCTTAGTGTACACTAGCGTCGTTGTGGCTCCAATACAGTTTTCCCATTCTTGTTTTTCATTGGCATAATCTATCATTCAGAAAAAAAGTACACAAATATATATTTTCTAGACGAATAGGGGGATTACCGCAGCGTCCAGATGGCCATCATCAAAAGGAAATTTAAGTCGTTTGCTAGCCAATGTTTTGGTTGTGTTTATGTGGGAAGGTATTCACGCAAGCGATAGACCACTAGACCTTCCCCTTTCCTTCCCACTCGCTCCTCCGACCAACTCTACATGATGCTATTTATTTATTTGATTTTGAAAAAGGGGGAAGTTTCCGTAGACACATGGAATAGTTCAAATAGTTGAATTGCTGGCACGGCACTTACCACAAATTATAGCTAGTTGTTGCTGTTCATGCTGTTGCCGTTGCTGTTGTTGTTGTTGTTGTTGTTGCTGCTTCTGCTGCTGCTTCTGCTTCTGCTGCCGTGTGGCTGATTCCACATCAGCTACTGCTGGTATGGCTGCCATTGCAAGGTTCGTATAGGTTGAGTCAGAAGCAGAGCCCAACCCACATCCAGACCGCTCGTCGCCCATATTATATCGTGCCAATGTCGTTAACAACCAAAGCAACTGTGAAAACCGCTAAAAACAATACGAAGCGCGTCCGGGAAACCGAAAAACTCGAAGTCTCGATGCCAATGCCGAGGCCGATTAGTACTTCTTATTAATTCTGGTGCGTTTCTCATACACTGCCATTTGAATTGCGTATGCGAATAAGCTGGAAAAGATATTGTTAACTAACAAATATTATATATTAACCGACTGACAGCTTAACGCATTTCTAACTTGTTTTTTATATAATAGTAAGCATATAAAAGTAAGCATTTATCTACATAGCACAGTTGTCTGTGTATAGTTGATAAAAATATTATATTGAATCACATTTGACATTAAGTTTGTCGGTCAGTCATAAGCATATTAATTTTTGAAAAGATAGAGTATTACAGCGGCGCTCGTTCTCTTCGTGTCTATAGCTTCTTCTAATCTTTTATTTTTTTATAATAAACATTCGAATGTCCGCTAATCGTACATCTTATCAGGGTATTAAGTGCGATGTTTGTGAACTGCGGTTTGGCACGCTCTTTGTATTATTATTTAATTTTTTTTTTTCGCAAACACTATGTTTTTTTAGGGTATTCACCACAAGGCGAAACATTATCTGAGCAGCTCCTAGATAATGAGGGGTGTCTATTACAATTAGCAAAAGTAATTTCAAGTGATTTGTTCAAGCACCTAAACAAATTCAAAGTCCAACAATCGCACCCAAAACTACTTAATTTATTGTACGGTTTCTTGTGTTCTCTCTAACTGGCTCTGATAAGGCTTTCTATGTCACACAAAAATGTAATTCTACTAATCTTCATTTGTTTATTCGAATATTTTAACACCTTGGAGACAGACTTTTAAATTCATCAAAATAATTTGTGTAATCAGATCTTGTATTTTATATTTAATGAACTTCGCACGCTGTTTACAAGCATAACTTCTCATTATATCAAAAACCACAAGACTACTTAAATCTGTGGCAATTGCTATTTCTGGAAGTCTTAATTACCGTACATAAATATATGCACATATACACACATATTTATATACTATTCTATATTTACATTTATTTTATATTAAACAAAGTTTTGGCGGTCGGCAACTCATCAGTTGGCGTTTTGCTGTCGCTTAAATCATTGCCTGTTTGGATTAGGTACGCTTGCTGGTTGCCTCCTGGGCTAGAAATAATTCAGAAAGGGGGTGAGGTGGTTATGTACTGTAGGACAGGAAGCGGGTCGGAGTACCGCTTTATATCCCTTAACTGATGCCAGTTGGGCTGCTGGCCTCACACACGACACGCACATGCCATATATTAAGGCATACATAAAATGACAAACGATTTGCGCTGCGCGTAAATTGAAAAGCGCTGAGCCTGTGAGATTGCTGCAGTTAGAAGACGGGAGGCAGCCAGGACGACAGGATGGCGTGGAGCACGGGAGTTAAGGCGGGGCAACATTTTGGCTGGCTGACTTCGTTGGCAGTTGCCGGCGACATCAGCGACTTTTGCTTGTTATTTTTTGGCTTGGTTTTGTTATTGCCGCCTGAACGGCAATGTGTGTGTGTGTGTGTGTGTGTGTGTGTGTGTGTGTGTGTGTGTGTGTGTCTGCATATCGAGATGTCTTGTTCCCCCCAACTACCTCCTTCGCCCCAGCTATCGGCTGGGCTGAATGCCAAAACTTTGGCAAAGTATTCAAATTAAAATTTCAATTAAGGAAGTGAATTTGGTGTGCCGAAAGTGTATTAAGTCTATTAGGGCGTCATCTTGGCATTTGAGCTCAGTGGGCTCAATTTCGCACCGCTCGATCTACACATACGTGTGCCATTGCACCACCCCCTCCAGCCCTTTGGAAAAAAAAAAAAGTGAACCAACCGACATCATCCAGGCAGCCCGGGCTTGTTCGCACCGTTGCTTGATTTATTGCCAAAGTTTTGTCAGTCGCATGACATAAGAAGTACTTTGTAGAATATATTGTGAATTTTGTATAAACCAAACAACACATTGTTGTGGCTCTTGTGGTTGGTTGGTGGTCGGGTTGGGTTGGGTTGGGTGTTGGTGGCTGTTAGGTGCTGCTGTTGCCAGTCTGCTGCTCCCTGTGGGCATTATTAATAATGTAATCAATTTGTAAACAATTTGGCATATATCAATGCGCTTCATGCTGCCCATAAATCTCGCACAAAATTAGCAAAACCCGCCGACCACGTTCACGCAACGCCAACGGCAATTTGCATCCCAATTCCGGGGCGTAGTTGCGACCGGAGCACTTTGGGAACTCGGAGCTACACGCACAAAGTCGGGGACGCTGACATATTGCAACGGGGCCACGTTGATGGATGGACGCATGGGATGGACAGTTGCCTGTATCTGAAAACCCCTTGGGTGTGGGGCTGGGACTTTTGATGGTACACTTTAGCCCAGCAACAGCATTTGCCATGTGCAAGTTGGATTTTCAGTTACAGTTTTGGGTAGCTCTTCTTGGATGCTGGGCGGTTATTGTTTTGGTTGGTTCCGTTTGCCGTTGGCTTTGCGTTTGTCGAGGGCCTTTGCTCTGCTCTGCTCTGCTGGCAGTTAGTGACAGCTGCTGCCAAGCAAAAACCAGCAAACAAAACAGAAAAAATAAAGAATCACAATAACAGGCAACAGACACAGCGTAAAGAGGGAAATATCTAATCTCGACAAGCCTGAAATTTTTGTTGTGCCCCTGCTATGCTCTAACTGACCGAGATTGAGACATTCGTTTGCCCTAATACACTGTCAGTCAGTCGCTAGTTACACTGGTGCATTGTTCGGTCTTGCAGAAACTAACAAGCACCTGACACTTACTTAATTTGAAATGCGCAACGACTCAACAGCTTTGCCAAATTCAGTAGCACGCAATGACATATATACTTGGTATAAATAATGTAGAATTTCTTGAATTGTATTGAAGTAATCCTAAATTGAAGTAATCCTAAAGTGAAGTAATCCTAAATTGAAGTAATCCTAAATTGAACTACATTTCATATACTTGGCATAAATAGTTTAGTATTTCTTGAAGCTGTGCCTCGCAATATGTCTTGACTTAACTTTGCAATAGAAAGCAACCATAATTCAAACGATATTTCATTTAATGATAAATTAAGTATTTTAATTGGAAGTTTATTTATTTGTATATTTTGCTTTAAGCTTGTCTCACAAATAATCAATCATAATCCTTCAGAATTATTTCAAAACGTACGACAGTTGTTCGTCTCTCGTTTTGAATAATTTCAACTAAATTCGACACATTCAACTATTATTTTCCCCTCGACTAGGCTGCGTTTATTCTATCAATAAATTGAAAAATTAAATATATATAAAATATAAAGATAAATATCAAGTGCTTACCAAAGCCAACAAACATATCGAGTGGCTTAGCACATTCCTAGGCAGCGCACTCAGTCGGCAAATCGAAGTTTATAATATTATTTATTTTTATTTATATTTTGATTTTGCTGCCACTGCTGCGTCTGTTGGTTGCAAGCACGACTGGGCACGACGCGTCAGCTGAGTGAGTCTCTCAGCTGTCTTGAAAGTTTATGAACTTGTCATTCAGTGTTTTAGTTCACATACATCTAACATCCTTCCAATCTACTTGCAGGCAACGATGTCGGGACGCTTGAATCATCAGCACGCGGTGTACGCTTGGCGTCGCGAACAGGAGCATAATCGAGTGCAGGCGACGCAGCAGATGAACCGCTACTATGATCACTGGGGCAAGGTGACCTCGCGCTTTGAGAACTGGACCAATCAGGCGTACTACAACAAGGCGGACCAGAAGATGCAGCAGCACAAGGATCAGCAGCAGAAAGAGAAGGAGCTAGCCGAGCGACGCACAAAACTGCGCCAACTGCTGGATGACGACAAAAATGTCTATGACTTGGAGCTAGGTCGCAAGCGCAGGCCACGTGAATCGCCGGGTGATCTGAAGACGCTGGAGCGCCTCAATCAGTCACTTAAGGAGCAGGAGCAGCTCAAGCGTAAACTGGAAATGGAAGCGAAGCTCTACGGACGTTGGCGTCATGGGGTCGAGGATGAGAAGCTGCTGTACAAATCCAAGTCGGACAACGAGGTGCTGGCCAAGCTCAACTGGCTGGACAAGCAGATCGAGCAGCAGCAGCAGCGTGAAGAGCGCGAGGCGCTGGCCGCCGAGCGACAGCTGCTCCTACAGCAGGAGATCAGTCGCACAGAGCAGGCTCAAATGGAGCGCCAACTCATCCGCGAGCAGGAGATCAAGGATATACGCGCCGTGCAGGAGTCACATGTTGCAGAACTGAAGCAGCGTCAGGAGCAGGCGGATAAACTGAAAGAGGAGGAGCAGCATTTCCGCTTGTTTCTCAGCGAACTGGAGAAGGAGAAACAGCTGCTGGAGGAGAGCACAGCTCTAATGCTACAGCAACCGGACGCTAGCCAAGCATTCAATCTGAAGAAGATCAAGGTTTTCATACGCAATAGCAGCGAGGCATATCGCAAACAGATCACCCTTTGCATTAATCTGCTCGAGCGCATGATCAAGTATGCGGTGAAGACGGAGCAGCTGCAGCAGATACTTAACAAGTGCAAGGAGCAGCTGCAAACCGAGATCCTTGCATCCAGTCAAATCGATGCCATGTTCGAGTCGGAGACCAAGTGCTATCTACAGCGCTGCGAGGATAATTGGCGCGAGCAGCATCTGCAACGCTATGGTGAGATCAACAAGCTCATCGAACAGGAGCAGCAGTCGCTAAGCTCGATGCTGCGCGAGAACCTCACGGAGCAGCAGTCGCTCATCCAACTGCGTGCCACACATGTCGCTGGCATTGAGCAGACCAACAAGCAGCTCGAGCAGCTCAACAAGGAACAAGTGTTATCCTCTCCACGTCCACAGTCAGTTGCCAAGACCTTGCCAGATAATTGTGATACCATTGTGCAGCCTGTCTCGCCTCGTCACAGTCAGCTAGATCCTAGCGAGCACTCTGATCTCATGCCCAAGGTCAGCGATTCATTTACCAATCTCAATTTGGATGTCTGGCAGGATATGCCACCGGTGCGTGGTGGCGTCGATTCGCCACGCCTCAAAAATACACGCTCCATGAATGTGGTCAACTTGGAGAATGTTAAGCCTCCCAAATTTGCACGCAAACGCGTCGTCTGGACCTAAAACTGGGTTGACGCATTCCTCCAATACGTAGTTTGTAACTTTTAAAGAATACAATGAAATTTTCAATGCATTATAAACTAGGTCCAATGTTTTAAGTATAGTTCGAATTATGATATATTATCTGTGCGTGTGTGTGTGTGTGCATCTAAAATCTTGTGTGCTTATTGTAAACTGTGTCTAAAATGCACTCGCTCTAAGTGTGTTTGTATTCGAGTAATATTAATTACAGATAAGTAAACTCGCAGTATTAAATATTAAACTAAATGTTTGCAAAATGTATCCTTCACGTTTCTCTTTTCAAGTAGCAAATATGACAAATGTGTTATCTTAAATTCAAAATTTATAGTATTTAGAGATTTAATTATCAACAAATTAAATACAAGACTATCGATGTGCATTTAAAGATTCGTAGAATTAAACAAAAATTGTCTGAAAAATCACACCAGGTCAGAAATTCGTTAAAAATCTGAAAATAGATCGGCCATCCTAAGGACTATGCGGATATCCTTTGGTTTACGAACAGTCCTTGTTCATCCGAATCCGCAAATACATGCAAAAGGAAGAAGGCCATTTAAACAACTAAAATAAAAGGAGTAAAAGTGAATCATGTGTCAAACGACTCTTACCAATCACGGCTGTAATCTTTATAGTTTTCGAGCTGGAGACGATTTTGCATTTTTGGCTGAAATTTATCGAGTGTTTGGTTTTGAATTCGGTCTTCGCGATTCCAAGGAACCATGTCCTTCGAAAATCTACAAGGATAAGACCTAGTTACATTTGTGGTGATTTTATTTTTTCATATTTTTTATTTGGCTTATTTCCAAGCAGGCAGATAATTTTATTTCCGCCTGGAAGTATGCAGCGTTTTATTGGCATTCGGAAATTGCTCGTTCGCCTTCTGCTTTTACATTTTGTGAGGGACCTTGACTTATTGATTGGTTGAAAATCAAATGAAATTTATTCAAGTTATAAGCAATTGAATTGCATATAAATTGTATGCATATTATTCACCTAGTTAAAGTTGCAATGTATTTAATTGCTGAGTTTTAATTATGATAAGACTGTTTGCATATTTTCATTTATCAGCTTATATCCTAAGCCAGCGGGAGAAATTTATACGCTCCTTATCATTTGTATTTTGTATTTTCCTAACGTCATTAATTCACCTAAAGGAATGTCAGTCAGTAAGTCAACAGCAACGAAGCAGCAAGTTTTAAGTAAATACTGACGGGAATGAAAACTTAATTATATGCAGTCAAAAGTAAAACAGCACCTAAGGTCGTTTATGCTAATGAAGTGCACAATTCTCACAAATAAACAAAATATTATCTGCAATCATTTTCAGAGTGCTGCCAAATGTTGCCTTTCAAATCGTTGCAGTCGATTTAATAATAATAATAATAATAATACTATCAAAAACAAAATAGAAAGAAAAATATGTGAGAAAATATGCCAAATATTATGGATGCAGCATGCAGTGCCTTTTGATTAAATTTCTTTTAGTGTTTGGGGCATAAAATCCAATTTCATTTTCACTAATGGCAGCGGCCTGCTGCTTTGGCAGCTCCCAGCTGCAGTCGCTGTTGCTGCTGCTGCTGCTGCTGTGCAACTTCCGGTTCGCTTCGCTGCCAGCAACAATGCAAAACACACAGCGCAGCAGAAGCAACTGCGTCGGCGGAAAAAACATAGAGAAAATTGCATGAGGAAAAACGCGATTGTTAAATTGAATTAAAACCAAAGCGAAGGAAAAAACTGCAACGCAATACAAACATCGCTCCACTGCATTGTGGAGCAAGTGCAACCAACTGCCGCCCAAGCGGAAGGTATGTATATCATCATGAGCACCAGCAACTGCAGCACTCATTTCATATCCTTCTCTATCTCTCTCTCTCTCTCTCTCTCTCTCTCTCTCTCGCGTTCTTTCTTTTTTTCTGGGCTATCAATTTTAGACATCGTGTTAGTTTAACCATTACGCTCACCCTTTTGGCTGTGGCTTAACGAGGTCAGTTTTGGGCAACAAGATGGAGTTCTGGTTACTTTAATGGTTAACGCTTCACATTGTTGCCAAAATATTGACCAACGAAATTAAAACACTTTGCATAGTATAGCATTTTTTAAGCCGATTATGTTTGTATCCAGAATGACTTAAGATTAAGCACAAGTTGCTAAAAGCATACAGAATATTATGGTTTTTTTAAGTAAAGTTTAAGTTTAAGTTTACTAAGATCCAAGCTGAATCGAATTAACTATATCAGCTATAACTATATCAGCTCCCCCTTCTATACCCTTCTAATAAGCCCCAACAGCAAACAGCATAAACTAGCTGCGCAACTCTTTCTCAGCTGGCAGTTTTATATGTATGACAAAAATCAACTTTTCCACGTTGCCGTTTTTCTGCTTGTTCGGAAATTCTGTGGAATGCTGTTGATGGTCTTCCGTGTACGTAAATAAAAGAAAGTTCAAAATTGGCAGCCATTTATGTACGCGTGGAATTAATTTAATTTAAACTTGCCTTTAAAAAATAAATAAATAAGCCAACTTTGACACGACGATACGTATAACTTATCAATCAAAGTTTCTTGGTGCTTCTAAGTCTCTCCATTCCAAAACAATTAATCAAAAACAATTAGATAAAAATAAGGGCGTTGAATTTAATAAAATTTAAGTGTATTTTTTATTATTTAAATTGTGCTCACCATTCTGATTACTTCTTAAGCCAAATATAATTTCGGTTTAGTCCTCGCATTGGAATATCGCAATTCTCAGGTGCAACTAAACTGGTACGTAGGATATGGCTAAAGAGTTCTTTGATCCAGCTACTTTCCTAGTAATCCCTTAAATTAGACTAACGGTGCCGGCGGATGTGTAGATGGAAACAAGAAGAAGCCAGAAGTGACATTTACGTCAAGAATTCAACAAACAATTGGCAAATGTGGCCATAAAACACATGACAGTTGCCGCCATTATTTTTGCTGTTGTTCGTGTTGTTGTTGTTCTGTCCATTGTTGTTGTTGTTGTTCCTGTTATTGTTCTGACTGTCGCCTGACTTTTCGCCTACCACTCAGCTGTCTGTCTAGCTTGCTGCAATTTTCTGTTGCTTACCAATGCACAAAGCGGAAGCGGATGCGGATGCGGATACGGAAATACATGGATGCGTGCTGCTGCTGCTGCTGCAACTGGCTGATGCTGTTACTCTGACTGTTGCTGTTACTGTCGTTGCTGTTACTGTCGTTGCTGTTACTGTCATTGCCCCTGTTGCTGTTGATGTTACTCCTCATATGGACAGAAGGACTGGGTGCACCAACGTCAACGTCAACGTCACTGGCAACATCATCGGCTTAGCCATAAGCCAACATGTCGCCAAACAAACTAAGCCCCACTGAGGCCGCACACATTTTGCCGGCTAAGCCTTCAGTCAATTGCATTCAAATAAACGATTCACACGACTCCTGACTCGTCGGCCATAACTACAACAAGTGCGTCTGCTCTAGTGGAGAGAGCCCCGTTTAAAGATACCCTCTGCAATAATTTCGTAGATATTTAAAAATAGACAGACAACCTTATCAAAGATACATTTAAGAGGTATCCTCGTAAATAATTTTAAGGAATCGGAGCGGCCACCTTCTGATCATAATATACATTTGCAGACCTTCATGCTATCCTTTTGACCCATTTTAAATACTGGGTATAAAAAGGGACTTGCAAATGACTAGTAAAGAGGAGTTCAGGAGGGAAACTGTGCTCTGTATGTACTCGGGATAGAGAGCTTAGTGGCATACTTAGAAAGAGACAGAGAGAGAGAAAGAGAGAGAGAGAGAGCGATAGCATTGGCTGCTGCAAGCAGTCAAAAATGCGCTTTTGGCTCATTTACATTGGAATGCCCGTTGACTAAAGTCTGAACCGGCTTCCACTCGGTAAGTTTTCAGCGGGGTTCGCTTGAAAAGGGTTACGAACGCTTTCATGTAGCACTTTATAGTTGGATGGGGAGCAAAACTGATTTTAAACTTTAAACAACGTTTACATTATCTGACGCGCATCTGCTGCTATAGAATGCCCCACTTCACTACACCTACTCCACTCCATCGTCCAATCCCAGTCGCAAACTTTTTGTATTTTTTGAGCCATCGCTTGTTTGTATAAAAAAGAGCTGCGTAAATATACCAGCCAACCATATCAAACAATAACGAGAGTCGCTTCGTTGGCGCCGCTTTAAACTCTTCACATTCTTGTTGTATTTTATATTATATACAGATATATACATATATATATATATATATATATATGTGTGTGTGTGTGGTGGTGTAATACTGTTTCATAACTAAAAAGCCATAAAACAAATTTTTGTAGACACACAGAGCAGTCAGCACGATGCTGTACCATATCACACCCACTGACATACGTCCACTGCACTCCCCGCCACCCAACAATGTGATGCTACATGTTGGGGAATATAAGAATAATAAGCATGCTGCATCACATTATGCGTATGCATGCATGTGAGCGAGAGTAGTCAGTCAATGTATTACGCTACAGTAGAGATTAGTCTTATGGAAATCAACAAAAGCGCAAATCTGAAATTGAATAAGTTAAGCAACCATCTCGCTACCAATGCAATTTACGGAGTGATTTTAGTGCTCAGGCGATTATAAAGGTAAGAAAAAAATTGTTTAAGTGAATATTATAAGACTCATCTATTAACAGACATGCCAAAGGGCTCAAGTGAAACGAATTAGATTCAACTTGGTTAAACAAATGTATCTGACATTAACAATAGTTGGATTAGTTAAAGGCCCGTCTGGGTCTTATTTCATAATTGTTTAGTTGCTTAACCGGAAAATAGTTTTTGTTTGCGGTACCCTCGAATAAAGTGTCGGCTACTCACTTCAAGAACTAATTGCAGCCAAATGTACTTAAAGTTGCTGTCATTTAGAATTGATAACCTTTTGCTTTGCTGTGCGAAACTTAAAGACATTAAAATGAGAGAAGAACTTAAATTAATTTTTCCTATTAAAGATGTCATTATTATTGTTGTTATTTTATTATTTAATTGATACATAATACGGTACTTTCGTGTTTCCGTTTGCTTTAATCTTGAAATAAATGCACATAAAATTAAAATAAATTTGCTAGGCATTGGCAATACTCGTGTTGTCGCTGCGTATTTACATTTTCGTTATTTGATTTCATTTTTATATTCACAAAGGACCTGCTGCTCGGCAGCCGACACAAAGGCTCAGCCTGCGGGGCCTTGCGGGCACTTTAGTGTCGGATGAGTTTCACACCGCATTGGATTTGGCGG